CATTCCAACTTAATGATTATAAAATTATACAAGTTTTAAATAAATTCTATTTATTCGCATCTACAAAAATCAATGCAAAATCATGTTCAACTCAAGAGCAATGCAGGGCACTATGCGGATAACCAAGATAACCAACTTATTAATAGCTTTAAAAGGATATTCTATTTTTTAATTATATTGTTTGATTTTATGTATGGCGTATTTTTATTAAATTAAGTATAAACCCAGAAAGAAAATTAAATTTGTCTTTGACAAAAAATTTAATGTGTATATTCATATATTTACATGTGTATATATCTATATGTATCTGAACGTAAGCAAATGTTAGTCAAGTTTTTTTGAATCAGTGTTTTATTATTTATAATTATTTATTACTTATTTAATTTTTATTTTCATTTATTTCCTATTTTGAAATTTCAAACAATTTCATTTATTTGTCGTCTTAATATGTCCGGAGGTCCAAAAAGTATGTGCAAAAATTTTCATTCTATCAAGTCAGAGATTAAACTAATATATTATACACTAATACACAGACAGCTAAAGATACAATGGCTTACAGCAGAAATTGCACCAAAAACCTATTGAAAACATTGGTGAAAATTACAACCGAATCAATAAAAATATATCGGTGTTTTTAGGTGAGGTTCCTTACAGTTCGATATCTGTTTATACAGTCTACATTTTTCCTTGATGGTTGAAATGTTAATGGGCCGATTTACACCAACGTAACATGAATATAAACATGAAAACCGGTTACTTATAGATGAGAGAGGGAAGAGAGTGTGATGAAATTTGCTACGTTCATGATAGTGTAAATAGGCCCAATGAATGGCAGATATGAATGGCGAATAACCTTTTTACAAATACTTTAAAAAAAAAATTAATAAAATGATTTAGTTTATGACAAAAATAACTAATTTATATCGCAGAAGATAGTGCTCAAGAAAGTACTATATACGAGTACACTCGAAACTGGACCAAAAATTGAATTAAAGAAAAATATCGATATTTTAGTACGAGTGAGAACCACAAGTAAATTGGTTTTTTCTTGATTAAATTGGAACTAAACCTGGATGGAAAGTTTTCCGTTTTCAGCAAAGACATCCCTGTTCAATTCGTCATATTATGTTGATCTCTAATATGTGGTGCTTATATGATGTCCGATGTTTCTATCAAAGTGTTACAAATTGAATACACTCCTTATCACCACAAGTGTGAAGGGAGGGTGTCATAAGAATAAGTTTTGAAAATTTAAATTTGAAATTATTAATTAGTTACAGATAATTTAAAACGATATTTTTCATTATAAGTATTCTTTATTTTAAATTGCATTCAAAAATACCTATGAGTAGAGTATGAAATATAAACTAGAATGGATAAATATAATGGATTTAATAATTATCTTCTACAAATATATTTACATGTGACTTATGTTACTTGAATAAATATATTTGCTTTAGAAAGGTTAAACTTTAGTTTTTTGAAATTGGTATACTTTTAAAACAAAGTTATTTAAAAATCTTTAAATAAATACTAAATTAAGTACACTCAGAAAAATTATTAGGTTGATTTAAACAGATTTTAACTAAATCTTAAATGATTGAACCATACCACAATGTTGATTTTCATATCTTTTTTACCAGACGAACTTAAATTACTCTAAGAAAATGATTGTCATTTTAAGTACTACATGGTTAGAGCATATTTTTCTGTGTAGTTATCGTTAGGTGATAGTGTTAGATTAGATTAGATTAGATTATGCTGGCAGGCCATAAAGGCCACGCGTAGACCACTAAGGTCCATTGCGATACCAGATCAGAGTCTTGTTTTAGCGATTGTAAGCATCACTTAAGATGCGCGTTTCATTAGCAAAATTTATTAAGATTCCAACAGAAACCTCAGGTATGTACTCCAGTCCTGCAAAACTGAAAGCTCCCAAGTATTTTTGTCGAGTTCTCGAGAGAGCCGGGCAATTACACATCAGATGCTCTAGAGTTTCCTTTGCATCCGGCTCATTGCATTTCCTGCAAGCATCGTTGTGAATTAGGTTTAGTTTTCGGGCATGTGATGCAACCAAACAGTGACCTGTCAACACACCAATTAATGTTCTACAGTTCCTTCGGTTAAACGATATAACATTCTTGGTGTATTTTTCTTCGTATATGTGTCTACACATAAGATAGTGTTAGAATATAAGGAAAATTGTTTTCTTATTTGAATAACCGTCCAATGACAGAAATTTTTATAATACATGGAGTCCCAATTGAACTGCAACAAATAGTTAATTAGCCAAATTTTCAACACCTATCGAAAAAACAGGCAATAAGATCATCTGCAACAACTATAAACTACTATCGCCACTAAAAAACGGATATAAAGGTTTTACAAATATTGTATATCAAAGAATCAATACTATTGCAGAACAAGTATTGAATATCAATGTGGTTTCCATCCAAACATATCAACCATAGATTAATGTTTTACAATATGTAAGATGGTCAAAATGTTCCATGAATATGATATTGACATATATTGACTATTCATAGACTTCCGGCAAGCTTTTGACAAAACATATCGTTCAAAAATTAAGCTGGCGCTGTTGATGACTGGAATCCCGAAAAAATGATTAACTTAATTATACTAACGCGTCAGAGCACAACAAGTCCAGTACTCATTCAAGGTAAACTAACAAACCCGTCCAACAATATAATGCATTTTCTTCCCTAATATTCAATTTGCTGCTTAATAGTATCCTATCACAAAAAAACGACATAAACGACATTCAATTTCGTCGCTACGTCGACAATATTACTATATTAGCCAGAAGCCCCTATGCTTTAATATTGTCGTGTAGAAAAGGTTAGAGCGCTACTGCGAAAATCGGACTAAAAGTTAATCATCAAAAAACAAAATATATGCAGAGATCAAAATCTAGAGTCTGTAGTAATCAGTTCAATATTGACAATACTGGCTTTGAAGCGGTCACTGACTTCAAATACCTTGAAGTTGTACTGAATTCTAAAGAAGACACATCAGCTGCCATGCAAAATAGAATTAAGGCAGCATATAAGACGAACTACGTACATATAAAAGTTTTTAAATCTAAAATCTAGATAACAAAAACTCCGTATATAAAATTGTCTAATTAGATCAGTACTGACATATGATTGCGAAATGTGGACAGTCAAAACAAACGAAACATACCAACTATTATCCCACAAACGGAAAGTACTGAGAACGATTTTTGGCCCAATATGATTAGATGATGGTGCATATTGTATTTGCTACAACAACGAATTAGAGAACTTAATCGACAATCAGAATGTAATACCATGTATAAAATCAAAACGACAAAGATGGCTAGATCACGTTCAGCGTATGAACCGAGAATGATCAGAAAAACGATCAAGCACTTGTAAGAAACTTAATTAGATCGCGAAGAAGAGGCAGTCTTAGAAAGAGGTGGCTAGATGATGCTAAAGCAGATTTAATGAAGCTACGCGTGAGCGATTAGAAAAACATGGTAGCAGATCGAGTCAGATGGCAAAAATTGGTTGAGGAAGCAGATGTCGCTTTTGTTTTACGTGATTTCCTGCCTAATTGGCTCAACATCACGGTGCTCTAAACACTCGTATTAATTTAAGCGTCAACCAACGCCCCATTGGAATAGCCTTCCTTATTCCGCCGATACCAATGAAGAAATTCATGCAAGTTATAACTTCCACTGACCTCTGCTACAATTTGGGCTGCAGCATCCGATTTGAAATGCACACCACGGCGAATGAATGACAAGCAAAACATTCTTCCCGCGTAATTTTGACTATTAACCACAACCACTTCGAGTCCAACACCAATGGTCAGCACAGCCGAAGCTGTCTGGCCACTGACCCCCGAAGTACCAGATAGTATCATCTCTGGTCAGATGTCGCAAGTTGCCGCCCACAACTTACTACCATTCGCACTTCTTGCATAAGTGTCAGACTGGCACTGGGGGATATTAGTCGCCTCTTACGACAGGCCATCCTAACCGCGGGAGTATTCTTTTCCTCTCTCCGCAGGGAATGGTTGAGGAAGCAGTGGTCCACCCATGACTGTTAAGAAAAAAGAACAAAGAACATTCAAACTGATAGTAGGACTACGTACATATTTCGCAAAATGGCAGCTGATTTTGTTTATATGAATTAGAATCATATCTTACAACCCGTTCCAACTTTACCACCAATTAAAATTCTAATGGCAATAAATAGCAATTAATTGTTTTTGCAACTATATTAGATATTATATATTAGATATATTGTCATTAAAATGCAAGCTTCTTCTTATGCTAAGAGTATCCTTCTAAAATTTGTTATCCTCCCTCTCTTTCACTCAACAGCAAAAGAACGTGTCAAAACAGGTATTTAAAACTTCCTGTGTTATATCAGTTCCTATCCTTATATCAGTTTCTATAATCAAGTTCATATATTGCTCTTATTGTTTATTTCTTATGTAAAGATCGATTTTTATAAAATATTTACTATATTTTAATAATTTTCGAAGAGACCATCCTTGTCTATACTTTTGTCACAACCCAACTGAACTAACAACAACCATTTACTAAAATAAAGAGAATCAAAAATAAGCCGATAAACCTAGACCTATGTCCAGCTTGAACACACATTACGGAAATGGGTGTTGTTGTAATGCTTTTATTTCTTACGATAAATAAACGACAACTTTAATGGACAATTAGTTTCATATAGGTGTTAGGGACTATATAAGTTATAGGAGTGGTTTAGATATAAGTATGTACATTTTTACAAAAAATGATTACTGTAATAACTCCTGAAGTATGCTTCAAGTTAGACATAATATTTATGTCTTAAATTATTAATTAAATAATTAATAATAATATAATGATATTATAATAATTTAATTATTATTAAAACTACCACATTTCCGGTTTTGTATTGTATTGTTTGTATTCATGAGAATTAAAATAAATAAAAGTCATAATGAACGGTTAATTTATTATTGATAATTTTGTTAAGTATTTCGGTTAAATAACAATTTCACCTAAAATCTTATTAGCTAATACTTAGATAAAGTACAACTGTAATTTCATTTTATTTCCAGCTATAATAGGTTCAGGATAATTTATACAAGCCACGGTTAAAAAATTTTAATTTAAGTGACAAAATCGCAAAATGTAAATCGAATAATAATATTGAGAATATATTTTCGAAACAATGATTTTATATTCCATATTTTACATATTTAGTGAATCTTAATATCTACAGTTCCAAAATTTTATCAAAACAAAAATTTTGGAAAACCTAAATTAATCATTTGATTATAGCTGGATATATAAACTTGGTAACATATTTTAAAGTTAAAAACTTAAATTTAAAAAATTGGTGAAAAAATGTGAAACCGATCAAAACAAATTTTTCGCTTAAAATTTGTTTCATGTTCGCAATTTGAAACTAAATTTTGGGAATTTTTTTGCTATTAGAAAAACTGCCTTGCGGTTTCTGGTTTCAGAAATTTGCGGGCTAGTAAACAATGAGCAGGTTACTCTCATTGAAACCCGCCGAGTGTCCAGCATTGCGTACGATAAAGCAAGAACCATCAAAATGCATGCGTTTTTCATTGCGACTTGAAAGTTAAGAAAAAATGAATATTCAAATTATTTCGAAAGAAATTGAAAGTATTACTTACCGAACAAAAAGATGAGATGTTTTTCCTAAAGATGCTGTGCAATGAATGCCGGGTGTTGTTAGGGTGGCTGAACCGTTTCCTGGGCTCGTGCGAATCAAACATTTATTATGCGTACGTGTTAACCTAATGAAATTATATGTTAGATATGATTTCTCCATTATGTACTTAAAACATACTTTACTAGTCCATCAGCTGCTTGAGTAATACGAAAACCGTTGATATCATAAACCTCAGTTCCTTCATCTGTACACGTGTAAGTGGAATTTTGAATGACATCATTTGCATCGTGCACATATGTTGGCCCATGGCGGGAATCACTATAAACGAACGAACACACACATTTATCGCATTTCATCAAACTCATTTGATTTAAAATAATTTTTCTGGAAAATACTATATCATTGATTGTAAAGAGAGCTTACTCATAAAACACGGTCAGAGTATAATCCTTTGTCAGATCAGTAAATGTATCAGTAGTGGTGCGTGTTCCAGCAGTATCAACCAGATAAATTAGGGCACATGAGTCACTTGTGAAACTAACACCTTTATACCACATCTTTGCATAACGCCTTTAAAGAAATTTAAAAAAAAACGTCAAAAGTTATTCAGTCTGAAATCATAAGTCAGGATATCCATGCTTATATGGATATTTTATAAAAGAGAAATTCTTCATTAAGCATTCGCAGCAAATTTGTTATTGATTTAATTGTAATCTCACAACTAGAGGCGATTTTACCAACAATAATCCATATATATGTAAAGTTCTTTTAAAGGATGTTCTTTTAAAGGATTGAGCTTTAAGTGGGGAACTATATAAATAAATTGAAATGACTAATACCTGACAATAAAGTAGAATATTCCATACGAAATACTCAATCATGCTTAACGTATTTGTATTAGCATTGATTTCTTTCTACTTAAAATTGTACTAGATTTCAGCAAGCAAAAATAAAATACAATTTCATTTACATTCCCTATGTAATACTTGATTTCATATTCATGATATTTTGTATAAATCTTTCTCTTGATCTTTACTACAGGTAGGTAGGTAGAGGTTGGAGTGGCCGCTTATTATCCAAAAACCCACTTGAGTTCAAATAATGGCTCATTGTGGTACCACAGGAATCGTGATCTTTACTACAAATCTCAACCCAAAATATTTGTAACTTTTATTTTAAATTTACGTGAAATTGACATTTCAGTATGATTTTCATTTTCTCTTCCCTATAATCACTATAATATTGTCTTTAGTGTTTGGGAAAGTTGGAAAATATTTATAATCAATTTGATCATAAACTGGTGGAAACGGAGAAACACGTCTACCCTACATAGATGTTAAGTAAATATATTGTTAATATATTACTCTTGTTTAGATGTAGTTATCAAAAGACTTATGGACTTATGGCCCAATATTGCCCTGGGAACACAAGGAATGAAGAAGAAGATGAGTTGTTTCGTACTCAATATTTTAAATTAAATTATAATATTTTTAAATATCACAAATATCTGATTTTTAATTTCAATCTTAATGATTTTCAATGATTTAATTTTAGTTTCAAATAAATTTTTTTTTGAAAAATGTTGAAAAGTGAGATGAAAAGTTAAGAGAAAATATTTTCCTTCTGACAAACTCAACTTACACATAGTTGTTAGATTTAGTGCCATCATAGGTGACAATTTCTACTTTAGAACCACTTTGCAACACTCGCCCATTGGGATGAATTAAAGCAGAGTTAGTGCAGTTGCGAGATAAAGCGATAGCCACCATACTGCGCTGGTTTAGTACCCGTACAGCTCGATCCAAGGTCATATCAATGCTGTGCAAAAAATAATTATAAAAAAAATTAACAAATAAATCATGTATTCAGATATGCTTACCGGATGCCTTCTCGTAAGCGGAGTTGTATGGTACCATTTGACATAGCAATTGGCCCGGCACCTGGACATGGTGCTGGAGCTAAGTTTTCATACTCAATGCGATGGGTACTGGAACGACCCATTATAAATGGCGGTGGTGGCATTGGCTGAGGAAATTGTTGAGAATTGATTCCTGGTGATACTATTGGAGGCTGTAAATAAATACATATATCAAAAATTATTTGAAAACTTAAAACATTGTAAAAAAAATTTTTTGTTCTCAATGGAAGTTGTGCCAATAATGGAAGACGTGCCAATAATTACACCAAGTGAAACATAGTTTCACTCGAGACTTGTTTATTGGAATCCAATTAATTTTAAGTAAATATTGGTATTATTTTTCTAACACCTAAGATTTGTTACATCTATTATTATTAATTATTGTTTGAGAAAAATCCTATGATCTTCTTCTAAAGTACTAGCATAACTTAAACTTTTTTAAATAAACTTTTTAGCAAAAAAATTGATTTGCTTTGATTTTATGAGGGGTTTTATGAGGGGATACAGATAACTTACCATTCGGACCATATCATTATCGTAGTTATAAATAGGTGATGGTGGAGGTGCCATTAGATGCCGAGCAGGACGTACACCTGAATTTTCATAGTTTGAATTTCCGTAATGATAAAGCGATGACAAGGTGTTGACGTGAGACGGATTGTGGGATTGATGTCGCGAAGCTGAAATAGCTTCCTTTGAGGTTACAAAACTATTATTGATAACTGATGCACGAGTTGATGATGTTGGTACAAAAGAAGATATAGCAGGAGCAGATGTAGGCGTTGATGCAGATGCCGATGTTCGCGAATGAGCCACATACGTTGCAGATGTGTTGAGACGGGACTACAGCATTTATCAAATAAATAAAAATATATCTTATAAATTCGAGTATAAAATTAAACACAACTTACAGATGTATTAATTCCAGTATACACTGAACGTTGGCGTACGCTTTTTGGGGTTTTTGATGGAGAACGTAAAATACTGTTTATCTTATCGTTCATATTCACACGAGCTAAGAAGTCATCTTCACTTAGTGTGGCAACATGAGGAAGTGGTAAAGTAACTTTGGGCGATTCATTTGTACCCTTTAAGGCATTGTCATTTTCTTTGAGGACCTTTCCACTGTCCATGTAATCTGGATTCATTTTAGAAAAGTTTTTCTTTATGTATAACGCAGGTTCTAAAATTTTGGAAATATAAATTAAATAAGCTTGAGATTTTTCGTTTCTCTTTAGGATAGATTAAAATTCAATGTACAAATAAAAAGTTTTTATATGATTTTGAAATAAAATTTGACATATGAAATATTGTATACAATGATTAAAAATATTTTTTCAATGCTTGCTTTATATTTGTTCTTTCGAATATTTCAAAATATATATTTCCAATTAACATATAATACACATCAGAGAACTGCTGTTTGATTTGAAATAAATAATTGCATAATATCTTAAATCTTAAATCTTATGTAACCCTGAATATTATATATAATAATAATAGTAATATTGAATAATGTAATAATAATAATATTGAATAATATAATAATAATATTTTCATGTATGATTAAGGACCGATTTTAGAATCGTAATTTGAGTCTCAACACTGTCTTAAAAATACTTAAGTCATCATTTAATTCATACTTAAATCAGTTTTGGGACGTATTTAAATAACTAGTCAGCATTTTTAGAAATTTTCCATTTCAGTCTGAGTCTTCTGTTGAGTTTCAATGCCTATTTTCTTATATTCTTTATTTATTGTTATGTTGTATATATTTTTGGTTTATTTTTGCAAACTTCTGTTTTAGAAGATATATGTACGAATCGGATGATGGAAGTAGATGTCAAAAAGTTTTTAGGTATGTAACGAGCAAACTTTGCGTACATCTTCATGCTTACACCCTAGTTTTTATTTAGATAATCCATACTCTTTATTGAGTATGTATTACATACTCCAATGCTCCTTATTGATGTAAGGAAGATTTCATAAAAGTTTGTATGCATTTCAGTGCCAAATTTTATTTAATATCTGTTTCATGTGTCAAGAATTTGCACATATCAGGTTGTACTACAAGTATATTTTCGTATAGATTTTTAATATTTTTACCGCAAGTTGTTTAAATGTATATGCATTCCCGTAACTCCCGTTATTCTTACAAGAGAAGAGAAAATTCCTTAGTTGATTTTAAAATAACGTTTTTTGGATAAAGAGAACCGGCGACATTAAAGTTTTAGGCGGTGTTTTACAAGATTAACTTTTATACGGGAAAAAGTTGTATTTTTCGATCCTCAGTTTATAAGTACAAGTTAGTTGAATTAGTTTTTGTTATCCGACATAAGTTTAGATTAGCTCCACATCTATGGACAAAAGTTATACTACTCATATAAGTTTAGCTTACCTTCTGTTTTTAACTATATGTCACGTCGTCTGAAGTTTATAATAGTTTCAATTATGATAAGCCAGTCTGAGTTAAGTTTAATCCTAGTTTTATAGTGTTTACACCATACGTTTAAATGAGTTGTAGTCTTATACCATAAGTTTCGAAGTTGTACTTCTCGTTACCAAAAAAAGATTAATTTCCGCTGCTCTAGTTGGTATGTCCTAAGTTTAGATTAACTTCAATTTTAAAACCGCAAGCTGCGATTAAGTACCATCATTTTACTCAAGAGGAAGAAGTCGTGTCTCCTAAATCTCCTACTTACTTTAGACCATTCCATACATCTGCTGAAAAAATAAATCCACAAACGATAGAATTGAAAACAAATTTCTTTTCATGTATCACAATCTGCTTCTATATATAAATTTCTGCTTGGTCTAAGCATTAAGAAATATAAAAAAAGTTTTTTTATAGGAAGTGACTATAGTCCATTTTACTTTTAAATTTTAACTTCTTATGCATTAGTGTAATGTGTGTATTATAAGACGATAGAGATACACGATAGAGATACACGATAGAGATACACAAAATATATACCTAATATGCTTTAATACTTTTAAAATATAGAGATAAAACTTTGGTATTACGTATATCCTGAGCTCAAAAACTACGGTAAATATTAACTTATTTTTTGTTGTTATATTCATTATTATTCATTATTTTTGGCAATGCTTTGAGTCATTTTCAAAAAAGTTTTAAAAGTGATTTAACCACAGATTCTTATACGATAAATCGATAATGCGATAAACGATAAATAAATAATTTAACTTACAATATGTACTTCCTTCCTGATAAAACACGTAAACACTACCGCAAAACAATTTTTTTTAAACAAATTATATTTTACAGTTTTTGTTCTGTAAAATGTAACAACTTTTGAAAACTTTTTTTTTTATATTTGATAAAACAAGCAATGAAGTCTAAGATTTTTTACATTTACAGAAATATGATTTTTTTATCCAAAAGAAGGTAATACATATTTATTTTGACAGTAAATTTTGTTGTTGTTGTTGTGGTTTCTTGAGTTAGTGCTATTGCGCACTTTTACTCTTTTGTGGCTGGGAGGCTTATCCCTGCCCCACACTAAGCTTTAACTATACTGGAATTCATATCGTTTATTTATTGTTTAGCTGATGACGGACCCTAGGTCAGCATATCTTCCTGTGGGTCTTGAGGTGGACTTGAGGTTTGTTAGGGCAGGGTTGGGCAGCGTATCAACTTTTGTGAATTACTTTGTTAACCATAGTTACATTTCAATACTTCTTAAGACAATACATATAAATTTATTTTATTTTATTTTCTCAAAAATTACCTGAAATTGTGATGGCAACATTGAATTTCAAAGAAGTTTATGTTATATTTTATAGTGTCAACGGAAATTTCAGTAACGTCTCGTTATAGTTGCTAAAATATGTTTATGGTAGGTACCTTAATCAAAAAATCGAACTTATGAGGAACAGATGACTGTCTAGTTTTGGGCAATCATCGACCTCCTCCACCTATGAACATTTTGAAAAAGTGAAACAAAAGGTGATCGCTGATCAATAATTCGACTGAATATATATAACTCGTGATCCTAACATTGGAGACATATTTAGATATTCGCCGCTGCTAAGTTTTTATTAAAGCCAGTGTCGTAAGCTGGTCTGTTTAGACATAAGCTTTTAAGTTTAACATTGAAAAAGTCATCAATTGGATGAATCAAAATTGAAATATAAAGTTACAGTCGAATTAAACCTATTTTGCTTCTTAGGTTCTAGTTTACTCAAACAATTTCACATTTAACCGGATGTGAATTTTGTTTTATTTAAAAAAAAAACAATTATTTTATTCACAATTATATGTAACTAAGTAAGTAAAGTATATGAAAGAAAGAAACGTATTTTTCCGAATCGTATTTTTCGAATATTGCCCACTGCTAGTTATTTACATTGAAAATAATGTTAAAAAAATATCTGTTAATTTCAATCAATGTTTTTGTCTATTAGATAATGACTTAATTATTTATATTTTTATAAAATGATTTTGAATAAGCTATTACGCTACATGATTATAAATTTTTTGCTAAATATGAAGAGGTTGTCTAAATTCAGGTCGTCTGTGTTTTCTACGTATTGCTTCAAAAACGTATTTGCTTATTGGATTATTCTAACACAGATTTCAGCTTTTCTATAACAAGTCTGGTCTGATTTTTGCATAAATGTTCTATTTGAAGTGTTCACTTTGTAATTTGATCAGTGATCGTAGCGTAAAGTAAAAAAAATCGATTTATTAATATTTTTTGATGGTTGAAAATTTCTATTGTTTTTATAGTTTAGTCCATAAACTACTGTTGATAGCAGGAGCTCTGTATATGTACCGTGTTCTCGTTTTTTTAGAATAGTACTAAGTTAAATTATTTCATATTCCTCCATTTTGCAGATTGTAAAGTATTAATTTATGATAATAGTTTTAATATTAGTTTTAGTAATATGTAATTATAATATATTTCTGACCCAATTCTTTCGGAACACTTCATTGTAATTTCAATAATTTTTTCATGTGTTATAAGTTTGTTCAAGTGACTGCGATTGAGATTGGTATTCATCTAGTATATAACTCGATGCTATTAAAATTATTAATTTTATTGGTACGCTTAGTACAAAACTGTTCAAGACAGTTGAAGTTGGTGTCATTATCATAAAATTCGATTTCCCTATTTTAATTGAATTTTACTGATAGACCCATAGTGTCCAAATGTCACAACAGTAATGTAAAGAACTAAGGACTGAATTGAGCAAGTCTTAGTCTTGGTGATCCTATTGCATGTTTTGTTTGTAGTCTGTTGAAGACCTCTTGCAAATTTCGCTACTCATTATCAAATGTCTTAAGGAGTCATTACACGGTTTCTTGGACGATTGAAGACAAATATATATTACATACATTTTAATATTTCAAGCAATTTTTATATATTTTTGTCTTTGTCTACACACACAAAAAGTAATCATGACATCTAGTGGTAATTAGAAAAGTCTTCATATTACATGATGATTTACAACAAATAAATATATCTGCTGTCAGTGTGAGATAAATGTAAAAAGCTTACAAATTCAAAGCCCTATATCTCAAGAATCATTCTATATAACATAATGGGATACGTTTTTTACAATAATGAAATTTACCAAATGTTCATTGTTAAATAATAACGTTTAAGGATTCATAATCATAATAATCGGATTTATTTATTTATAATATAAATTCTATATAATTATAATATAAGTAATATAAGTGTGCAGTAAATAGTAGTTTAATAAAATGAATGCAAATAATTCTGACCAATTTATAAATACCAAAAAGCACATAGTCATTTTGTGTGGTTTCCAAAGTCTTTGTTTAATAAATTGCATGATAAATCGTAACATCCTGCATAGTTTTAAATACATAATTGTAAAAAATGGAATTGCGTTGGAAGATGTTCAAGATCGAAGCACAAGCCGAAGCCTTCTTGTTCCATTTTATTCGAATTATCTCAAACGCCTACATTGCTTTGTAAGAGCAGTCTAAATTCCAAACGTTGTATGAATTTAAAACTAATATAAAGATAATCTGGTACTTAAACTAGAAAAAGAAGTCCAAGATGATGCTTCTTTAAGAAAATTTTATGAGTGTTTTCGAAACAGCTCTATGAACGCACACATATCTGAAGGTTTGCAGTGCATTGATTTTGAATAGAATAAATCACTGCGAATGAATGGATGAATAATTTATTTTATTATTCCGACACTACTAAACTGATTGCCTCTCTAAAATCTCAATTTCTCTCTCTATACTAATTATTTTTATGACTTAACTTCTTAAGTTAAAGAATATATTTAAACAGATCATTTAATTTACTGTGTAATTGATAATCAAAGTATTAAAGTGTTTTTTAAGCGATTAATATTATATTATAATAAAAATTTATTAAAAATATATTTAAATAATTGCAAAAAATAAATAACAACTGTATTTTTATGCTAGTAAAATAACTTTTGAAAATATACCAAATAATTTTCAAAATAATACTAAAAATATTCACAAAAGAGCTCAAAGAACATTCCAAATAACGTTTTAAATTAAATAAAAAAAATAATAATACAAAAACTTTTATAACGAAGTTTTAAAGCTTTTGGTATCTTTTTGGTTTCATATTTATGACTGGGTTTAATATGCCCTAATAGAAGAAAATAACAATCATTTTGGGCTCCAACAGGAGCTCATATAAGAACAAAATGCTCATAAATATTATATGAAGGAATTACATATTAAAATCATTTATGATGTCTTTGTTCGACTGGGTACTTGCTTAGTTAAGTGAATTAGTTCGGAAAATATTTATGCAAGGGATGTGGTGAGTATTTTAATATTTAGGAACTGTGGAGAATCTATACAAAGTGAATTTCTCAATAATTACTAAATACATACATATTACTAGGTAACTTTCAGTGAAGATAACTGGTACATTAAACATTTATAAATCATTGAACCGACAATTATTCGTTATCCATATATGATATTCATATATTTAAATGATAATATAGCCGTAGATTTAACATATAGCCGTAATCGAAACATGTTGAAGTTTCATATCTAAACAAAAAAAATAATATTAAATAACTAAATAACTTTTTTATTTAACAGCGGTTATACGTATTTATAGAAGTTGATTTTTCCGATTCAAGAGTATGTCAATGAGTATAGTTTTGTTCCAAATGAAGAAGTCTTAATTTCACACTTTTACGGTCGCTAAATATAAGAGTGCTTTGATTTATAGTATACATATAAGCTTGAGTTATAAACTAAGGGTTCAAAATAATCTTCGTTTCTTTTTTTTTTGAAGAAATGTATTTCCAACAAATTTCTAGAGTGAATAAATTTAAGGTTTTGATATAGACGGCGATTATTAATATACTTCTGATTGCATTTCGATGAATAATTGAAAGTGTGACGAAGTGTTTTTCACGTTAATTAAGTTATTATTCTTTTGTATACTGATTGCAATCTTTATACAAATCAACGTAACTCCTGTGGTACCACAATGGACCATTATTTGTGCTTAAGTGGGCTTTTTGGGATACAAGGCCGCCACTCCAACCAACCAAAGATATTATGCTTAGGTATTAAGAAAATATTTAACGGTTTTTAATGAACTATAGAAAAATAAACTACTCGTATATTACATCTTAATATATATTAAAATTTATTGTATTTTTATTGGGTGTCGGATATATTTTAGATTCCTTTTTGATACTTTTTGAGAACCTATTCAGATGGTATCCCGATTGCTTTTAAGCTCTCAGAGCCAGTTCATCATTTCGGTATAACAATCACAGCTGTCATTTATTTCCACTCTGTGTTTAATTTTGCGGTTCCTGTCATCTTTGATTTCCTCAATTAACTGCGAAAATATGTATTCGAATGATTTCATCGTTCTCGTAATTGTGCACCTTTTAAAATGTCAAATGAAAGTGGAACATGAGACGAATAAATAAACATTAAACATTTATTTTTACACACAAATTTTATTTATTGTTCGAGCGCTCGCGTATCCGCGTATCGGCGTATAGGCGGTACGTACAAGTATCTGTGATGATTCTGACTCGGCCTAAATGTTTACTTGTAATTCTTTGCATTTGTATCTGTCAGGCGGCATTCATTTTTTCTTATCACAGGCATGTAAATAAACGTTTTTCTTGTTAATTACTTCCTAGAAAACAAAAAGATTCAGTAAGAACATTTACAATAACAGTACGATACCAGGGGAAATATGAAATGAAGTTCATTTAATTAGCAGAAACATTCCGAATGAAAATATAAACTAAAATTTGCATGAATTTTATGTTTGCTTAACCTGATTTCATTGCAGATTTGAAACGATAATGTAGCGGGCTGTCAGTATATCAATATGACCCATGGCAGATTTGTATTAGCATAGATTTTTATTAAGATGTTTTCCCCAACCTTATTCTTTCAAGCAGTTTAGGATTTATTTATTTACTTATATATTTATATATTATATTGACACAAATAATATTAATATTAAAATTGAAAAAATAAACATAATATGTAAATTATAATTTATAATTTAAATTATATTTTTACAATAAAAATTAAAATTTTGTTTAAATATCCCGATAATAGTAAATATTTTGATATTGTATGATAGGTGGAATAATATTTTATGGATTATAATTAAAATTGTTTAATTGGAAACTGCTCGTTTAGAATCTGTACTCTTTTACTAGTATAATAGTAAAATATATAAATAATATATAAATAACATTTTGATTAAGAAAGGAGCGGTGCAATTAACCATCAAGTATAAGCTTTCATTATTTATCATTCAATTGAATGTTTCTAAAAGAACACTGCCAGTTTTAGTCAACCCGATATAACTGCTCGTATATGTAGCATCGCAATATACTTTTTCTAGATAGTCTAACCTAAATTATAACCTTGTGTGATTTTTAGGTGAAATGTATGGAACTGTTTCATACTCTAGATTTCTACTCAAAATGCCATATGATAAAATGTCTTCAAATTTTATGAATAGGTCAAAATTTTCAAATCGTAGGGTAAGGTGTTTTCCATGTGCTTAGTTTATATCAATTTAGATTAGTATATTATTGAGTTGAGTAATGTAATTATTCTCTACATTAGCGTTAGTAAACTTATGTAAATGAATAAATTAAAGTATATATATCTTAGGAATCCGGCTCTCACTCATATTTAATATTCTCTTAATGAACTTAAAATCTTTAGACACTAATTTAGTAATTTCTAATTCAAGACGTAAGGTCGCTTCACATGAATTGCGTTATGAAGTAAAAATAGCTTTTTCTAGTATTAATTTATAACTTCTTCAGTTTACAATATTTCTGAAAGGAAGACAACTTTTCACCTACAAAAATGGGTAGTAGTAAATTATTAGTTCCATCTATATTAATGTTAGCTTTTCGATGTTAGCTTTTCTTAATTTATATATATAGCAGTTCGATATCAGAACTGATAAAGTATTATATTCAATATCAGAGTATCTTATTATCTTTATTATCTCTATATAAGGTTCCGATAGATCTATTATAGTTAAAACATTTTAAAGCTCATTGTAAAAAATGTTAGTATAAATCTGTACTGTAACTTATTTCATAACTCAAATTGAATCTAAAATGTAATGAATGGTAGGATTGATTTATAACTTCGAGTTAGTAAGCACTGAATTAAAACAAAAAATGTGAATCCAATGCAGGTGTCGTACATATTGCCAGCTTAAATATAATATATGTTCCAAATGTAAAATATCCTTAGGAGTTATAATAATAATAATAATATTAAAAATAATATAATAATGCCATGACGAATGTGCACGTCATTTGCTCTATCGTTACTTCGCTCAAGGCTTTACTAGACTTACTTATGTAGATTCATATTTTCTAAACAGAAAATTAACTGTCTGAGTTACCTTTAAGAACAAAAGAAAGTTTCGATAACGGATTGATAAAAAATTTTTATAACGTCGCCACAATTATCCATATAACCCATATAGATAAAAATTCCGAATTGGGTCTTTTACTGAAATCTTTTAGTTGGATTGAAAAAATTATAATATTCGAAGCAGATATAGTAAATATTAAAGTGAAGTAAATATTATACTTTGCGAGATGTATGGATTTTATATTATAAATTAAATAATTTAACATAAATACTTGGTGAAATTAAAAAATGTATTATCCATCATGGACATATAAGAAAATTTAGAATTTTTTGATTACTGAAATTTATTTCGTCTATTTGAAGGTCTTAAGTAATATTTACAGCGACATCTTTAAGTATAATCAGATACGTATGACCAATGTTGTTTTAATCTGTGATTAAATATATTTGTATACATATGAGGTTATTAATGAGAGAAAAAATATTCTGCTGTTTGATACAAATTTTGCAATGGATTTTGCACTACTTTGACCCGCTACAATAGCATTAGCTGCAGCACCATAGTTGGCATCTAATGAAGAGTCGGAGTGTGTTCCATCTGAGTTATTACACAAATCTTTAGTACAACTGCGGTAATATGTTTTAAATTGCGAGTCTTGTTTTACTGTATTCAAATACTAAATAAATAATTATAGAAACATAATTTATGTAGTTTTGATTTTCATTCCTTACCAATGGCTTATCTTCACAACCCCTGAGAAACGAAATAATTTTTCCTCCAGAGCCCTGAAAAACAAAAAATACAATTCAATAAATATTGCATTAGTTTAAGTATTAGTTTATTATTTTTGTGCTATTCATAAGTCATTCTATAAACGACCGATGATACTAATTTTCGTTAGCTGTGTGATGCACACACTATAATACAATACAATATAAGCCAATCTCTTCCTTGTCTGATGAATGTACCTATAAACTCTTATAAGACCAAAGAAGAAGGCATATCTTTTCATTGGTTGCAATTGATCAATTTTAAGGCATGCTTGTACAAGTTGATGTATGTACATATAACATACATATATCGTTATTGAACTCACCACTGATTCCTGCCTTAAAATAGTGCAGTATTTCTTAGTACAATTAGTTTGCCGCACACCTGCTACATCCAAAATGCAGCCTTTTTCCGCTCCGGATAACGTCTCAGTATAGCTGCAAGTATAACATAGAAGAGCTGAAAAAATCATTACGTATACATTCGTCAATATCATTGAAAATGAAAATAATAAAACGAGGTCAAAAAAATATTTTTTATATATAAAAATCATCAAATCATCAAATCATCATTTTTTATATATTTAGAATCTTATACATTTGTACATTTAGTGGATAAATATGATTTTTGGCAACAGACTCAAAGTCTGGTTGCCAAATTGCACGTCCTCCACTGGTGAACGTATTTTTGTGTAATAACAATGACGTAAATTCAAAAATAAATTAGTACACCACATTTATGTATACAAATAAAACAATCAAAGATATTTATGTATTTACAACAAAAAAAAAGTAAATAAATATGCGAATGACTTGAAATATCCACTGATTAAAACAATTTTGATAATAGTATTATAGTATGTTGAAGTTGAAGTTAATATAATTTCAATATGTGATTCTTTAGTCCAACTTATGACAAAAATTTTATTAGCAGATTTTCCAAATAAGAAGGAAAAATTTACATTCATAAAAACCTCAATACTCGTATCTCAGATAAATTTGTTGTTTAAATTGTAAAATAATATTTAAAGTTGATATCTTTAAGAATTGTTGGTAATAAATATTACATATTCCAAGATTATTTAGGTCACCGTGGAATAAGATTTCATGAATAATTAAGATTCATTCGTGAGAAATACTATTTATATAAAAAAATAATGTTAATAAGAAATATTAATTTATTTAACCCATTAACTTCCAGAAAGAAACTAACATACAATTCTGTTTTAATTTTTGCTTTTAAATGATCGACGCTATCACATTCAAATCGTTTGGTGTTTGGTGATGTGTTCCAATAAACTAATAATTTCAAGTATAGCGATTATCGGTGAAATAGTTTATTTATGCAAGACATAATTTGAAAATTTTTTGAGGATTTCATACCATATCATCTAATTTCATTTATTCTATGTAAGTTACTATCAATTTCTTCTCACGGTAGAACAGTAACAGTATCAACTGAACTTTCGTTTTCCTTGCAATGCATTTCAATCGCTTTCTACGGCAAAACATATATCGGATATGAGATTATGGAGCGAAGTGACGAAATTTACTTAACTATTAAACATTAATATTATATTAAATATACTTGAGTTTAAGTGTTAACAAATAATCGTTCTAACATAATAAGTATCTATTCAAAACTAGTTTTTCGAAAACTACACAAAGAAAATTACATTATAAAGTGATATAGTAACATTGTAAGATGGTAATAATAAATTATATTATGAATACATGTACCTTATAAACAAAAAAGAACGAGCATTTTAAAAAGAAAACGCAAAATTTTAATTTTTAATAATATTCTTTATTATCGCCTTCAAAGTACTCTCCTCCTGCAGCAATACATGCATGCCAACGCTTGATCCAATTCTCCATACAAGTTTTATAGGTCGTCGAAGGTATGGCCTTTAGTTCACGCAGCGAATTCTCTTTTATGGCCTCTATGGTCTCAAAACGCGTTCCTCGTAATGGCAATTTGAGTCGGGGGAAGAGAAAAAAGTCACACGGGGTCATATCTGGAGAGTACGGTGCTTGATTGATGATATTGGTGGAGTTTTTGGCCAAAAACTGCTACACAACCAACGCTGTGTAAGCCGGGCGTTATCGTGGTGTAAAATCCATGAGTTTTCCTTCCATAAATCTGGTCTCTTTTAGCGAATGGTCTCACGCAAACGACGCATAACGGCCAAATAATACTCCTTATTGATCGTTTGACCGTCCAGAAGGAATTCATAGTGTACCACACCACGAATATGGAAGAAAACAGTCAGCATAACCTTGATTTTGGATCGACTTTGGCGTTCTCTTTTCGGTTTCGGCTCACCTTCGAAGCACTATTCGGTCGATTGTTGTTTGGTGGTCAAATTAGCATTTCAAATTCATAGACCCATGTCTCATTACTAGTTATGATGCGTTCGATGAATGTGGGGTCACTATCTGCGTTGGAAATCATCTCTTTGGCCACATAACAACGACGCTTTTTTTGAATGAAATTCAGCTAAAAATCGCCACACGAAAATTTTTCGACTTCTTTGTATAGGCGCCAAATAAAAACTAATCGTACGATATGGGTTAAACTTTGACAGAATGTGTATAATAGTGTTGTCAGCGTGAAAATAAAAAAATTTACCGATTGGATAACCGCAGGAATTAAAAAAAAAGAACAAATAAGTTCTTTTTTGATTACAAGCTATAATCAGTTGGCACTTTACAGTGTTTCCATTTTACTTGGTTACTGAGCTCATTAGTCGTTATCGTGAATGTCCCCATAGTTTTTTTTTAAAGACTAAATTAGATCGTTATTTTTTATGTAATTTTGCAATAGAAAAAAACCCTAATATAAAGAAATATTTTTATTATTTCTGTAACAGTAGATACTTTACTGAAAATCCTTATCATTTATATTTCAACAGCTTTAAAAATAGGTTTTAACCCATACGTAGGCTTCTGAAACTTGTGATGATGAAGAAGCAAGATAAAGAAAAGCTTTAATTCGCAAAGGCAATATAAAATGATATATTATATCACAAATTATAGACCAAATTATTAACAAAAATATTTTTATTTTTGCACAAACAATTTTAAAAATAGGTTTAAATAACTTATTTAAATAACTTATTAAATAAATAAAATTTATTTAAATAAATTCAAATAACAACAAACGTTGCAACAAGGGTTAATACTCGCAACGTTCAGTTAAGAATATAATTAATACTCAAATGAATATTTTTCACAAGAATTCTATTTCGGATTCTCAAGCGCACTCACAATTTCGCTCTCTATATATTTAAACTGAACGAATTCTCGAAAATGTTGTATTTAGATAGTATTTCGAAGTCTAATGGACTTCATGGGAAATTAACCACTTTTTAATTTTATGGCAAAAAAGCAAGTGGTGGTAAAGTATAAATATTTGCAACAAAATGTTATCACTAATGTGACATACTAGAAACGCTATAACATTAACATTAAATTATACGTATGGAAATAAAAATTAAATTACATAGGAGAATTATTTTTTTATTACATATAAAATATTAAAATAAAAACCAGCATCAGTGGGGACATACTAGAAAATATTATCTGTATGATTTTTTTAAAAGTTCACAAAATTATTTATAATAAGAGTTGAAGGATTTTGGGAGGGGAAGGTTGTTAATATACTAGAAAAATTTTTTTTCAAAGTTTTTTCACAGTTGACTAAACTAATCGAAAAGGTTAGAGATTTGTGTGAAAGGGAATATTTCAGAAAACATATATTGTTGAGGTTATTTGCATTTCGTTAAATTGATTATATAGACATCCACATGTGTACAAATATTAATATGTAGAAGGAAATATACTTATTTATGTTATTTGTAAGAGCTTTATTTTTAATAGGTTTTTTGCCTCAAGAACTGTGATTTCTTTATCGATAATATTTTTGAGGCTTGACAAGTTATTATAATGTTTTTAAAGTTGCTTTATCCAAACTTCTTATTAACAGTTCCCTGAAGCTGACTATCGAAGAAAGTCGGAATATTGGAATATCACTTTAATAAAGTATAATTATTTCAAATACAAATAATATTATAGTTTTTAATTAAATCACCAATGAGTCCGTTTAATAATTATTATTAATAGTACGGAAATATAAAATCAAAAGCATGTCAGAATTATTATGTTCTTCTTATCTTTTAATTAAATTGTCAAGGGGCGGTCTATTTTCTTTATCCTCTCTGACCCTGAGTACATCACTGAGATCAATTTTGTATTATATATACAGTGGCTCTCAACTTATTTCATCCAACAATGTTTTAAATTTTTAAACACGGTATTTTAAAAATGAATTAGAAAACAATTAAGTTTTTAATGTAAGTAAGGAAATGCTCGTTTATTGAACATAATAAATGAAACAAAGAACATAAAATATGCTTTTGTTTCGCTCACAGGGCAAAAACCCGATCGCATAACAGAATTATAGTTCACAGCTTATATCATCCAAATTATCATTCACATTTTTTTTCCGTAATATTTTATAATTAAGGTATTTCCAACCAAATGTAATAAATTTATTGTGTGATTTTGGACGTGCAACGGTAAGTACGGTAATTTTTTAAAAAACGGGACGACGCACTACTATTGAGTACAGAGAAATGGTGCTAACCCATTTTAAGAACGGTCAATCTCAGCGGAAAATTGCGAAATTTGTTAATTTGAGTCGCTCTACTGTGCAGAGCATCATCAACCGCTTTGTTCGTGAGAATTGGACTCAAAATATAGTCAAAAGTGCACCAAATAAAGTTTTTAATTCAGCTGACAAGCGATATATTGTTAGAAAAATCAAGTGGACTCCAAAATTAAATGCTCCTATAATAGTCAGGAAGGTACGGATAGAGCTAGGCAAATTATGATCGACGTTGGAAATCTGGAGTTTAATAATGGTAACATGGACAAAACAATATACCTCAATGTTTCAAGTATTGACTTTGGAACCAAAGGAAATTTTTTTTGTGGATGAAATGAGCTGAGGCATTAAAATAGGAGTATATTTATAGTTTATGTTCACTATTTATTAAAACATTATTTTCGGTATTTTTGAAGTTTCTAAATTAAATAATAAATATTTTTCTTTTAAAATGGCATTTAAATATTTTCAATCGATGACATAGTTTTTCAATAATAGCGTAAAGAATTTTAAATTTGGTGTTGGATGAAATAAGCTGAGAGTCACTGTATATTATTATATCTGCCAAAATCATTTGCACAACTATTAGTAAAAAGTCAATTTCAATACTTAAGTATAGAAATCATTACTTGCCTGGTCACAACATTAAAATTCATTTTTTCCTTGGTAAACAGTAGTAGTTTATTATATGATGTAGTAGAATGCAATATATTGTATTAACTGAAATACTGCTTCAATTAACGAGCGAAAAGGTTCGATATCGCACAATCCGCCGTTGCTGTTACCAAGCGCACAATTAAAAAAGCGCATCTCTACTGTATAGTATGTAGATATAGGTGTATCAATAATAATTTCAGAAAAAAGATAAGAAACAAAAATATCGGTTATATACGTGGTACGATTCAAGCAGTTTGCCAACACAACAATTTATCATATATATTTTACATATGGTCAGATATCACAACTTATTCGCATATATTTCTTTTATTTCAGGTTTATGATATTATCTTTATTTATTTATGATTGAATTGACGTAATAAATTATTTAATAAATTATTTGTTTTTACCTTTCTATTTTACACGCTTTTTCCATTTATTTTAATATGAGTTTCTATATTAAAAACTTACATTTCACTGAACCAAGAAAACTTAATACCATCACTGCCTTAAGTATCTGTTGAAACATAATGATGTTATAATAGATATTTTGAATCTATGGGTCACTAGTAGACGAATAAAGTGCACTAAAGAATTTTTTATTAATACTGATTGAGTTGGTTTTCAATATTATTTCAATTTCATTCAATGATAGCAAATAAAAATTAAATTATTGATAAGATAAGAGATATAATAATAATTACACTGTTTATATTCTCACTTAAAATATATTTTTTTTTTAGAGCTGCCAGTTTGATAATGATGCGTCTAATCGGTGCCATGAGTATGAAGCTGCGCCGATAACAACGGCCCCAAAACCAAATGAAAAAGGTAAAATCCTAAAACTTTTCTATGATTGTTAGAATTTTGTGACTTTATTTTTTATCATAATTTTATAATATATAATTCATCTACACATGCAATTTTTTTTATGAGTTGTGTGCCAGTAGTAAATGTCATATTGTTCAAAATATTAGTTTTAAATTGAAATTAATTGTATAATTTTCTAATTTTCATAAATTTTAAATATTTCATATACTACTATGAAATCCAAATATATATTACTTTTAGAATGTGATGGAAAAATATCTCCAACAAATTATACTAATCCCTCCAGTTCTAAAAAGCAGTCTTTACTTGCTGAAAACTATGTGCAAAGATCAACAGCTATCACCACTACACCTACTACTGCACCCATTTGCTATACGACTACTCGTTCAGCTGCAATGATGGCATTAGCTTTAGGTCAACAGTCCAAAAGTCCGGTCCATACGGTCAAAATACGTAACGAAAACGTTATACTTAAAAATGATGCAGAACTGTCAGCTAGCCTCATACAGCACAATAAAACATCTTCGACTGCTTCGGTTTCAACTGCGTCCACAAAAGTAAATAATTCATCACCTGAAATGACTGCCACAGCACGGTTTAAATATAACTCAAATATCAACACCACAAATAATGCCATTTTCTCTGGTGGGAGTGGTTCAAGTGGTTCTGATAATGATTGTTTTAATACCTCGTCCTCTTCTTCGGCAACTGCACTTAGACGCTTATACTTTAGAAGCGGTCGCAGTAATAAACCCAAAATGAATCCAACAGCAAATTCGACCATGACAAGCATTCCATTAACTGTAATTAATCAGGCAAATATTGCATTTCATACATCTGTACAAACCGAGGGCGTTCCAAAGGTGAGTACAAAAGTTTTAGTTGTTACTAAGTATCTATTTTGTGCAATAACTCAAATATATAGGTTCAAAGCAAAATCTGTTATGTCCAGTATTCAGAATTCGTTTTTAAACCCATTCACTTAATCTTTGGTTTGAATTTCAGGTTGTCGTTATGGGTTCATCAGCGGCGTCAATGACAGAAGCAAACATCAGCACATCAACGGACTCAGCATCTACACTTGTAACAAGTATTACCCATACCACGGACACTTCGGCTTCTGAAACTTGTGATGATTCTGTTGATTTGGGTGAGTATTCAAAGTAAACAATTGTGTTGTTGATAAATTATAACACATCTTTGCATTTAACATATTACACATTTTGATATGAGTTATCGTATTTATTAAGAGTATAAACATGTACAAGTAAACCTATGATAAATATGAACTCAGCACCTTCTTTTTCATATATTATATCAGTAAGCAAAGAAATTACAAACCTAAAATTGCGCATAACTACTTGTACATAACATATAATACAATTATGATTTCTAGAGTAATTTCTCTATGATTTAGGTTTGCGAAATGACTATATACCTGCAAATTGAAAATACCACAAATATTTAGTTTAGGCTATTATGACTGATGATTAGCTTATTTATGACATTTTGTTTACACATGTATTCCCGTTTTATCATACATATAAGCTTTGGCTTTCTTAAACAATACATATGCTACTTATTTAAATAGCCCAATTATATTATCTGAGCTTCAAACTCAAATATGGAAACTCAAATATGGAGTGGAATATGAAGCTTTAGTCTTCTTTATATTATATCTAAACTTGGCAATTTACTTTATAAGCTCTACAAGCTAGATAAAAGAATATATAAGTGCTTATAACTTAAACTAAAATAATTTTTAGGTGATAACTCCGGACCGAGCGAACCATTATTTAGCTCATTGGAGGAGCCACTACTTACCACAAAGCATGTTGACTCTGAACATGAGAGTAATGATATCGAGCTAAAAAGTTGTTCAAGATACCCTAGATCAGAGATGAACTTACAGGATAGCACAGAGGTTTGTATTCAAATATATTTCTTGAAATTATCTAAATATATAACAACTATTATACATGTTAATGTTCATGTTATATATTTGTACTTTAATAATTATATAATATTTATATTTAAATTAATAGAGCCAAGAATCCACATTATCCATATTTGCTGCTGAACCAACATCAACCACGCCATTGTTGTCAAATTGTCGTTATGATCTAAATACTGAACATCTTAGATGTGAATCCGAACTTTTGCCAAATACGGCACCAGCACCAAGTAGTGGCACAAAACACTTTACATTTGATCCGCCAAAAGCTCCACAATCGGCCAGCACATTTGAAAAGTCAAGAAACCTTTTTACTTTTAGAGGAAATATAAGCGGTAATTCTTCAAAATCTAATCAAAATCAACAACAAACACAACAACTTCAAAAACAAATTCGGCGTTTCTTCGACTCCGACAAGAATATTGAGGAACGCATACACAATACAAAACAGAATGAGGACCGCAGCATTATAGCAACGAAACGAGAGAACACATCTAATAAAAATAAATTTCGCACTGCATATGCATCTCAACGTAATACTAATAATAGCACTGAGGGGGAAGATATAAACGAAAGTGAAAATCTACGTAGTGGCACTAAAAAGTCTCGAGCGCGTGATGTTAATACAACAGTTAATTCACGTAACCGCTATTCAACGGGAGGGATAGCAGCTTTAAGTAGCACAAAAACAAGTCCAAAGCACGAAGTACGACGCTCGCCCACTTCATCTAAAATCAATTCAGCTCCACCAACTTTGAAGGAGAGTAATTTTTTTAATAGTGCTCAAGTATATGGAAAGTTAAAAGAATTACCCCCACCGACGCATACTCAAGGCGCTAATCAACGCAAATATTCTTCAAGTTCTTCATCTGGTGGCAGCGAACGCGATCGTAGAACTCCAAAAGATAGCACAATGTTTCCTTTTGATCGTGAGGCAATTGATTACAAACGCATACAAATGGAATGTTTTGAAGTTAATGAAAATTCGAGTGAAAATTCGGAAAGTGAAACTAGCGATTCTAATAGTGGTGAATCATGTTCTGTATATGAACGAAAATTATCATTGCATCATAACACTCCTAAATCGGCTGATATATTTCAACAGTATACTCTTTTATCACATCAAGAACTGCAACAAAGTCATCACGTCAATACCGGTCCACCATCTCGTAAAAATTCAAAACGCATACGATCCGACTTTGTCATGCATAGCACTATACGTGAAAATCAACAATATATTATGGATTCTAATGCATTTTCTCCACATCAGAAAACGTCATTGTCGCTTTGCCATCAGTCGCAAAAATCTCATGGAGAATCAACAATTTTTAATGAGCTCTCTTCAAAATTTGAGCAGAATACATCAAAGTCTGGATCGAGTGCTAACATATCGCACAGTAAGATTTCTAGTCCTAACAGCAGTATTAACAGCACTCATACCACAGTTGGAGGAAAACATTCAACTAGTAGCACATTCAACAGTCCAACAAATAGTGTAATCGATGTTCATAGTGATGCATGTTTGGAATCACATAAACTTTTACATAAGAAGTCATATAAATCAAAAAGTAATACTGGAAAAGGTAAGACAACGGACTCACCTACAAAATTGAATAACTTAAAGTACAATGGAACTGGAACAGTTATATGTACAGCTGCAGGACCTATCAATGTGACTCCCAATCCTATGGACTCGGCGATGTGCAAGCAACCATTAGCTACAATTGTCGTTCAACAGGTATTCAATTTATTGGTTAGATAGTATATTTAATAGAACACTAAATTCAGAGACTGCGTATGTAAATTTAATATGTTTGTTGCATTACTTTAAAATCAGATGTATTTGTGAACAGCAGGTTGGCCCTGAAAACTTTTTTCTGATCAATTAGTTATATCATTTTTTAGTAGCTTATTGGAAAATATGTGGAAAATAATTCCAAAGAAAATTGTATTTAAAGTATGCCGTCTTTAACAATACTTAAAGTTAGATTTTGTGATTTAGGACTTAAGACTACTGTAACTTTTATTTAATAATAAAATTCATGCTCTTTTTAAATTAAATCAACATATTTCTATTTCTAAATTTAATTTAAAGCTATTTTCATACAAATTTTTGATTGTATGAAAAAATTTCTAAAAATCAGGTTTTGTGAAATTTTTTGAAAAAACATTTAAAATATATAAAAAATTGTCAATTTTTATAGTCTATATCTCTGAAGCCATACACGATAACTCAAAATTATTAAAAAAATTTGTGTTTCTCGTTCCAAAATCAAAATTCTATTATTAATTAAAATATGAATTGTGACTCTTTCCTTTCCACTAAGGTATTAGAAAATGATATAACCAATCTGATTAGAAACGAATATTTTTAGTGAACAGTTAGTGGCACATATCTTTATCTAAAGTACTTCCAAGTGACTAAAGTTGACAGTTTAAATTCACTATGAGATGTTATTTTTGTGTTATTAATTGAGTGGCATTTGAATCTGAAAATTTTAATAATAAAAAATAAACTCAAATAAATATATTAAGCTAACCAAAAAGGATCTGTTTTGCTTTTGTTGGTCCCGTAATATTTAAATACATATTAACAAAGAAATGACTTTGCATGATGGCTAATAATAGGCCTTTTCTTTTGTAAGCATGTCGCAAAAGAACTAATAAATTTTAACACTACTTTTGTTGCTAACTCTGGACAAAATGACAAAATGGAAATTTTGTTACGCTTATATATAGAAAACACGTAATAAAATTTAAAGTTAAAATTTCGAAAATGAATAATAATTCTTTGCACCTCTTGGTGAGAATATTTTTTTTACATGATTGTGAATAAAGTATTTGTTACGAACAATGACGACACGAAATACTAGGAATTAACGAAAGCATTCGTTGACAGTTAACTAAAAATTTCGTAAGTACTTCCAAAAATCCTTCACAATAGACGAACTTTTAGTCTTGGCAACCATGCGAATAATGGATTTCATATTGTTCTAATCAGCTGAGGTTCTTATTGGAATGTATTGGGCTCCGTTAGTAACGTTAACTCTGACATTAGCTATTACAGCTACATTTATATACGGTTATTCTCAATCTATAGAAAAGATGAAAATGAATAGCTTTTTTTTTGTGTTAGCAATTTTTTTTTATTATTTATTTTTGGTTAGACTTGTTAACTTCGTCTGAATCATATTTTTGAGATTACATTAAATACTTTTATTTCGTCCTCTTTAACAAAACCAGTGTCATAACGTTGTAACTTTCCTCTTTTGCAAACTTCTTTATTGACTTTATTTTTATCAAATATTCGTATTTACTTTTTAACACACTGGATCACGAGATACTATAATGTCGGCACTATTAAATTCTTCATCTAGTTTTCCAAATTTTTATACCTTTTTGCAGAAATACCCCATTCGTTTATTATATTTTATAATATCTCTATGTTCCTGAATTAAGTTAATTAAATTAATTAATTTAATTAATTAATTATTTAATTTAACGATTCTGTCATAAATATTGGGTGTGTTCAGTGAAGGTTTCAAAACAAATTCAGTTAACTACTAACTACAGTTTACAGTTAACCACAGTTTAGTAAAGAAACGAAAATGGAGTTATTTTAGTGTGTTACATATTTGAAAATATTAATCACAGCTTTTACATGCACACATATATAATGATATAGATTTACAGTTAAAAAATTCTGACTCAATACAGTCAAACTTCCATAACTCGAATTTTCTATAACTCGGACTAAATAGAATTCAACAAGGTTTAGTGAGGTTTAGATACAAACACAAACAAATTCTTTAACTCGAAATCTCCATAAGTCGAACATCATCTTTGAAAATTGGTACTTCGAGTTATAGAAGTTGACTGTATTTATAATCACTTAAAACTTAGTTTGTACTGATAAAATAATTATATAGCATTTTTAATACTAACGTTTGACCTAATTTAAAGTGTTCCATAATGAAATAGGACAACAAATAAAAAAGTATTTCTTATAAAAAGATCTAAATAAATATCCATTTTTGTTTGAGTCTATTGTTTACATTTGTGATAATACTATTAGCTGTAGTTTTATCACTTGATTTGTGAAATGGGTTCCTTTCGCCATGAACACTACTTTTACATTTAATTAAAAAGAAAAAGAGACGTTGTGTATCAGCTATAAGACATATAGCTTCTATATAGCATATAGAGTCTATTGTTTACATTTGTGATAACACTATTAGCTGTAGTTTTATCACCTGATTTGTGAAATGGGTTCTTTTCGCCATGAACACTACTTTTACACTTAATTAAAAAGAAAAAGAGACGTTGTGTATCAGCTATAAGACATATAGCTTCAAGATATTACTCATTTTCTTCGCTTGAATTTTGTTATTTAAATATTCTGAGCAATTTTCTTGTTAAACTCATTTTTTCCGAGAGTTTCTTTGTGTTTTTATCTCAGATAAAACCTCAAATAAAAGTAAACAAATTGATTTCCATTTTGATTTTATAAATCCGTTGTCATTCAAGATCAACAGTTCACTTGTTTAAAGTAAATTCAATGAAACAAATAAATTTTTTAATAAAAATATTTTATTAGTGAAAAAACAGTAAACGTTCACACAAAATTAATGTTAAAATTGAAATGAATTTAAAATATATCGTTCTTTATTGACTATATGTTCTACAAAAAAGTTTTCTTTGAAGTAAACTGAATTTTATATAAACTATTGATATATTAACTGGAATATTGAAAAATAAATCGATTGAGATGGCGCCATTTTATAAGCGGATATGCAGAAATCTATCACGACGATACAAAGAGGTAGTTAAATATGCATATCTGAAATGAATATGAAAACAAGTTTCGTAAATAATAATAAGTTTTTATAATGATTTTATTTTTAATTATTAAAAGACTGTGAAATGACATTTTCCACTCACAATGGTGTTTAATTAATTATTCAGAAGTTGTACATATCCAACAATGTTGCGTTGCTTTCAATCTGGATAACGTATATTTATTTTTTTTTTTGTGTTTTTTTTTTACATATAATAATAGAGATTTTAAGCCTTTTATGAGTTGTGACCTAAAGTGAATAAATATTTTTTTGACTTGAAACTGATATCAAGAATCCCTAATGGGAGAAAATTTTTCACGAAGAAACGACTCTAATATAAATATTATTATTTCGTTTTTAATAAGAGACAGATGTGGTAGTTTTTACTAAATTAAAATTAATGTATGATATTTTAATAGAAATTTTTATTAATTTTCATCTTCCATATTCTGCTATATTAATATTTTAATATTTCAATTAAATTTTTCCACATTACTAAAATAAATTAAATAAATCATAAAAAAACATAAAAAACCTTATTCTCAAATATAAAAGAGTACTTGTTGCAATCATAAAAATATATATTAAACTACAATATGAAAATATTTATTTTTCTTATTAAAAATGAACTCTGTGAAGGCAAATTTATTTGAAGGTCGCGCAATTATTTTTTTGCAGTTAATGACGGCTATGCCTTTGAGCTGCGATACGTGCGGAAATTTGAATAGTTCAACTTTCCCTAATTAGTCGTGTTAAATGATAATATTAAATATCAAGAACCATAATATATATAAAATAAAATTTCATTGGAATCAGTTCCATTATGATTTCTGAGGCGTTGCCATTTGACATTGTGTTTTGGTAAAGTTTGCTATAAGGAAAAACTATTAGAATAGGTGATGCGTAGACTGATATATCGACTAGTAACCCAATAGAAAAACTTTTTCTCTGAATAATGATTTTCACAAAAACTTGACGCTAAATAGCGGCGTTCTAGAAATTGTAATCGGTTTGATTGATTAATTAATCAATTATATTTATTGGTTTAATTGATCAATTATATTAATTATAAAAATATATACATTTTAAAATAAAATATAAATTATATGTTAACTCCACAAAGTGAAATCAAAATTTTTTAACCTGTATAGTCATAGGTTATATTATCAATAGATGGTTTACATTATCTTTTTTATCTCTTTAATTTTTATTACAGTTAATATTAAAAATTGACAATCGTTTCATATAATTTTCTGTTTTATTGAATAAAACTAATTTGCTGAATTTATGTCGTTAAAGCTAACAACACCCTGTAATACATTTAAAATTAAAAAAAAGTGCTTTGAATGTGTGCTATATTATTAAGAATGCTTGACTGTAATAGTCGAAGTAAACATTAACTTTGTTTATGCTATTATTTATTAATAACTTTGGTCATTAAGTTATTATTTATTTATCAAATTGATCTGCATTATTTTATTACATCTTGTTTATTCAGATGGTTCCTGAATGATTACAAATTAGTATATCAAGAAATAAGCAAATAGACCAAACCACATAGGCAGACAAACATTCAGATAATTGCAGGATAATGTGTGGTCTCGCATTATGATCTAAAAATAAATATAGTTTTTATTGTCCATTGTGTCTCCAAATATCCTGATAAATCAAGCAAATCATTTATTTACATTATGTGATAATACATCAATAAATGAATTAGTAAAATATGATTTGCCATAGTTATGAAATTAATTTATAAAGAGGTTTTTAGAACAGAAGTGAACTACAACACCAAAAATTTAGTAAAATTAAACTATATGTATTACCATTAAATGTCAAAATAATATTTGCATTAGTGCTTTGAAGTGTTGGAGTATACTTCAGTTAGATTTGGAATTCGACCTGCAGCATTTGATCCATATGTTTAAATCTGTATTACTTTTCATTTCTTTTCTGTCGTATTTTGCAAAAATATACAGAGCACCAAATGCTTGAGGACTATATGGTGTTCAAACATATTTGAACCGAATGTTGTAATACCAGCATATTCGAAATTTAAAATGTTTGAAGCTTCGACCAGCTTGAATAATTCTTCGGCTTTGATGAACTTAACTTGCTAAATAATAAGCCCTTCTAATCTCCCCTTTGTCGTTAACTGAAATGGGATTGTAGCCGCTGAACGTGGGTGCTATCTTTCACAATCATTGCTAAGAGATGGTTTTATTGGGTTTAAGTCTCATCAGCATGGATAATATTTGAAGCACTAATTTCGGTCATTAATAAATTTTTAAGATCACAATGTCATAACTCTCATTACACTTACATATACGTATAAATTATTATTTTCCTTTACGTGATTAAATTGTGAAACTTGTTAATTATTATATTATATGACAAGAAAACAATACATATTTAGGGTAATAGAATACTAGCGTCTTTTTTTCGTAGCTACTCATTGGGTAGAAGCCAGACTATCGGCTGATTAGGAACCTAAAGTTAGCTACAGTATTGAAATGTGAGACTTTTGTTATATATACAAATTTTCAATAATATTGTATTGATTTGTCATTTTATTATATTTATTATTATTTAATTTTAATTAATTGGGTCAGTTGGTTACGGTGCGCTGACTCTGAGCTGTAAATATGGCAGGGCACGCGTTCGATTCCTTGTACTTGCAGTCTCAAAAAATTATTTACGAATAATTAAATACAAGAATTATTTCCAAGACCACTGATGATGGGTATTTGTCAATACTAGAAACAACTGTATGATCAGCTAAAAATTCAATTAATTAAAATAATATAAAATGAATTTTTGTTGCTATTTATTTAATTTCTAAAAGAGATTTAAGCTCTGATTAGGATCCCTGCTTGGCTTAATAAAGCCCCATATATTGTAATATGAATATGAAATTAAAGCTTATTTCTTATATCAAAATTTAAAAAAAATTTGACTAAATGCAGCATTTAATATCTTTTTTACGTAAAGTGCCGTATGATATTTTATGATATAAATATATCTATGCAGAATACTAGGAATAATATTTTAGCCTTTCATTCTTGTGCAAGCCACGAGCAATGGTAACAAATTGTATAGAAATACTTCTTTTAATTGTAAATAATAATGCCAATCATACTAGATTTATATAATGTGTCTTATGCAGCTAGTCTATGTATCTTTTTATCTTTTGTGCCACTTATACAATTTATTGCATTTGTATATAGGTATGTATGGTATGTACCGCATGTACTATATAATTGTATAATATATACAAAGAAATGCATATTTTTACATTGGTGCGTTTATCTTACGTGTTCCATTCCTCGAATGCATTGACCCCAATAACTAAAAATAAAAACGCACTCGGAAATTTCCATGAAAATACATGCAGAAATTCAAAATAGTTTTTTATTGCCTTGCATTTGCTTCGGTCTGTGGATATTATGCAAAATGTGTGGGAATTTTAAATATAAGTTGTTAATTATTTTTTACTAATAATAAAACTAGAAGCAAAACTATTTTCATAGCTAATAATAAATTTAAAAATTTATTTTTAAAAATTTATTTCACAAATTTAATTTTTTTATTGAACTGAAATAAGCCTCTTTCATGTAAATGAGCTTTTGTCTTTCAATTGCAACACCCACTGGTCCTCACCGGTTTGTAAAATATCAGATTTTATTTTTAACGTTATTATTTTTAATGTTGGCACAAGTTAAAAAATACATTGAACATTGTAGCCTTCTAATTCTTTTTTTTAATCCAGTCAATATTTCAATATTTCCAACCTTTGCCTTTAAGTATTGAGTATATAGTCAAGTGAGTATATAGTGAGTATATTCTGTCAAGTTAAATTATTATAATTGATTTTCGAAATTTATGTCTTTCTGAGACGGCGTAGTATTTAACGATTGTGTAGACCAGTGGTTCCCAACTTTTTTTTTGACCAAGGTCCACAGTTTTTACTAGGGACCACAAAGTTTAAGAGTAATAAACTGTATGATTATTTTAACACGCCTTATGCATCTTTGCTATAATGAATTGTACAATAAAGTCCAGAGGTACATTATAGAGACTATCAAATAGGTATATTATTATTTGAAAATTTTTATTGCTTATTTTCTAAAAATTTTTTTCTAGATCTTAGTGGACAACCTGCAAATTATTTATTCATACCTGTTAAATTTAACTCATGAACCATTTTTAACCATTTCGTGCACCACCGGTTTGGGACCACTGGTGTAGTAAATTTTTATACCTTCAAATATACAGAAAACTGAAATTAATTAAAATGTTTATAATTTTTAAAAAGACAGATCGGACAATATGTAGGGGTCTACTACTTAGGGCTATTCAGACATTATTTCGCGATAAAAATATATATAGTGTAAACCTTTTCAAACTATTAATAAAGTTTAAAATCAGTATTAAGGTAAAGATGTAGTGGGTAATTTGATGAATGATTATTTACTTAAATATATTATATGGAAATAAATATTGAAAAATTACTTAAAAACTGAAATAAATTCAAAGATCTTATGTACAATATTTGATCAGCATTGGCTAGTTATCAAAAATATGAACGACAATTGACTCTAGATGATCACATTGATAGCCTTGATTACCTTTAAGGCCTCGTATCGTCATCATTGATCATATGATTGATATCAAATTGATGTGATCTACTTATGTCCGGTTCATGGTATATAAGTATATTTCTAAGCTTTTAAAATACACGAAGAAAATTTTTTTCTTAAGCTCCCTCCTAGGCTACGTGCCTGACCATATTGCTTTACATGTGAATATATTTTCCATAAAATAAAATATATGATTTAATAATATAAAGTTATTAAATCTTTTTGTGAGGCATAAAGTATCTGTTAATGATTTAATTCGAGCTCTCTTCAGGAGAGTATGCAAAGATTAGACACCATGGATAAACTGTATTTCTTAAGTCGCATTCTGCTGCTCTCCTCTGAATCATACCTGCAGAGCAAAATTGCATATTTCCGAGAATGAGTTTTATCTAGCTCCATTTACACTTTCATATTTCTGCTGTGCGTCTAATATGACTTGTTTGAACCTATAGACCGATAGTGGATTTTTTCTGAGGCCACTAGTTGCACAAGATAGCCTAGAGATTGGTTTATAAAATTTTGTACTTCAGACTAACTTGCAGTTGTACGGATTCTTGCTATAGAAAGTTGTGTTTTTTCTGCTTATAAGAAGAGTAAAAGTAGGTTGTATGCATTCTCCATCAAAATTCATTGCATTTAAATGTTTAATGCATTGTTAAAATATGTAATGAAATTACTCCCAAAAGCTTTGCTAATTGACAGGTTTAAGTTAATATAACGTATATATAAATACATGATTTAAAAAAATTTCATCAATAAACTCTTTAGGGTATAATGGCCAAGAATTTATGAATATTTTATTATATACGTATTTTTGATTTGGAAATATAAGAAACAAATTTTAAAAATATTTTGTATCTTCAAAATATTGCTTACATTTTATAAAATCCTGCAGTAGAAAATTCAAATTAAACAAAAATACAAAAGTATTTATTAAAGTGTGAAATGATATCAAACAATCATTGCTGATTAAATTGTTTTTAATTTTTTTGTACTTTTTCATTGAAACAATTTTAGGAATCCCAGCAATATAAGATTATTTTTAAAATATGCAGTTAGAAAACAATATTGTTAGGATTTTCAAAATTTTGATAAAAAAAATAGGTATTAAATTTTATTGGTGAAAATAATTTAAAGTACATATTTTCATTGTAATAATATTAATTTACAGTGATTATCAAACAAACATTTAATGTTATATATTTACTCATATAAATTTTCAAAACATTGCGTTAATTTAAATTACTTTCTCAAAATTTCGTTAAGCCATCACTAAGTCTAGACAATACCGTGGAAACAGTACTTATCAAAAATGAAGGCGAATTCGTTAGTGTTGAGCAGGGAAAAGATTTGAATGCGATCACTGGGTTATCTGCGCGGAAACGAGATTCACAACAATTACAGAATGCACCTCATCTTCATCATCTACAACAACCGGAACAACAACAGCGGCAAAAACGCGATGAAAACATAAGGCAGCTTTTGGATGTAACAAATACTTTAACGTTTGAAGAACTACGCGATTTTGAAATGCGGTAAGTTGGATGTTGGATCCTCTTAGAATAATATAATCTCTATTGAAGATAAACATTCTTTTATTATTAAAAGAAATTTTTAAGTTATCAGTTTTTTATTGCTCCCATAAGTCCCATTGTTAAATTTGCTTATGATGTGCACAAAATCAAGAAAAATCAAAATTATATATAAATGGGAAATCAGTGATCACATATTAAATATATCCCCATATAAGAAAAGTGTGGTTGACTAAGATGAATATTATCCGCCCATTATTATTATTATGTATGTATATGGGTAATCTCTCACTTTACTAAATTAACATATTTATTGTAAAATTTTATTGTATTAATTAGTTGAATATAGTATATAGTATGGGTATGAATATAGTATGGGATGTTTAATAATGTTTAGAATTTATAGAGAATTTGTAATCTATTACCATTTTGTCGAGTACGATGTCTTTCCAACTAATATATTACTGAAGTATTTGCATCTATTTCATAATAGCAATTTAAAATAATTCAAATAATTCATGTTTTTAACATTGAAAATATTCTAAATATTTTAAAGTTTTCTTCCTAATCTTTCCAACATTTTGGCACTTTTATTCCGCGATTAATACTTTGCTGCTAGCATTAGCATTGCTCTGTCATTACTGGTTTTCTTATTTTCTTATTATTTTGTAATTATTCCTTTCTCTTTTTACACTAATATAATTATATAGAAACACATTCATTTGAGTTAAGAAGTACTTAAACATTATTAGTGTTCGTAAACATACAAATATATAAATTATGTACAAAAAATAAACAAAAAATTTGCAACAACAAGGATGTTGTTTTGAATACTAGTTTGCAGCAACAAAATTAATTAAATGGATAAATTGAATGAATTAATTTAATGAAGTAAATAATTGGAATCAATGATTAAAAATTGAAAATTTGCAAGTTAATTATTATTTGTCAATATTTGTATAAAGATTTCATCAACAGGAAAATAAGTCCATTTAGTGATGTGCACATTTTCAATGTTTGATTTAATTACTTTAAGCATTTTATTTTGACAGTTTAATAAAAATCAACATATTATTATAGAGCTTATATTATAGTTAATACTATTTTCTTACTTCGTTATGAGGCTTAATATTACATACTTCTAAAACTTTTCATGTTTGATAAACTTTATTTTTAAAAATATTTATTAGGCCTAAATATATTAATATTTATGTCGGTATATTGTATTTATAAATAACTACTATAAATATCGACATTTATTTTATTAAAAAATATCCCTAGAGGTCAAAAATTCCTTCTTTACTGAAAAAAATAAAAATAAGATAATATTCTTTCTGTCTCTCTCTCTTGGAATGTGCAATGAGTGTACGGATAAACTGAATTATGAGCACTATCTCCAATGTCAGAAATGATTGTTAATGTAAAACGTGGACTATTAATTTTCTCAAAGTCTCATAGTTTTTAAATACGACCAGTTATTAGTTGCATTATTCGAAAATTGTCTTCACAATCGAAAAACAAAAAGTCTTTACTTACTCATTTTACTTTAAAGTGGGTTTGTATTAATTTATGACAAATAAATCGGTCATTTCGTATTTTGTGTGTCACAAGAATTCTGGGTTTGTAACACACATATGTATGTCAATTTTCTTAACGAAAATTTCTACGGCCTTTATTCTACGGCCTGGTTTCTCCGGCTTGCTTGGCTACACAAATATTCAAAAATATATAACTTAAATACATTGAGTAGAAGGGGATTCTGTCCAAACTTTTCCTATGTCACTGGTTATTGGAAAGTACATAACAAAAATGATAATAAAACCTTTTCAACTGAAGATTAATTTGAATTTAACGTACGAGTATGTATGTAAGTAATCCACTGATTATACACACCCTAATGAAGAGAACTTATGGAGTCTGTTAATGACAAGTTTTAAGTGATTTTGTGCTAAAGTTATATGACGATAATAATGATGATGATACTGTTGTTTATTTATGCTAAATATGTTGTTGTTTTTGATGAGAGGATACTTCATCAAGTTTGCACAATTTCGAATCTTTACGCATCGTTCACAAAACGTTGGTATTAATTATATTTTGCACCACTTAATGAAGTGTGTAAATAACATATACATTGTGATGTTTATAGACTCGCTGACCAATAAGTACGGAAATATATAAGGGGGCGCAATGTATGTGAAGTGAATGTACTCATATAACAACATATTGTAAGTATGTTATTGGATATGTTGTGTAAGTACCCTTGAATGCATGGGTACGTTTGTGTTTATTTCATTTAATTTACAAATAAAAGTCACAACTAATAAAAAATGGTTTAATATACTTAATGGAATGATTCTATTTTAGTTGTAGTAAATTAAATGTAATTGATTTATATATTCAATAGAAAAAACGCTTTCTTTAAGTTATCCAACAGTTAAAACTGGTTAATCCATTTCGCTAATTAATTTTATTAATTAGTTTTGCTAATCACTAGTTGTGTACTTATGAGTACTGTCAAAAAAATGTTCTAATAGTTGCATTCTTTATTACTTATGACTATCACTTAAACGACCAGAAGCATATTGATTCAATTCATGGGTTTATAAAGGATTTGCAATAGTTTTATTAGTTTTATTGAACGGAAACGTGTTTAACAATATACTTTGTCTTCTAAGGTTACGAAATAAATTATATGTGAAAGAGGATTTTTGTTTTGCTTTGTATAATAATTCCGGATACTATTTACATAGAATGTATATAAAGCCATATATTAATCTATGATATTTGACTTCTACACAAATATTTAAAAAAAATTCTCTTTACAGTTATGGTTCTCCACATCATAGTCGTTCCCAATCTGTTAAAACACCTGGTAGCCGTGCATCAGGTCGACCTAATCAATTATGCTTACCTCAACAGCGATCACGGTATGAATTTATTTCTTTAAGAAGATAAATTATAAAATATTTAACATATAAATCTCAATTTTAGTGTTGCTTCTATGCCGAATACTGGTGTAGAGGAAGAATATTATAGATTAAGACATTTTTCAATAACAGGTAAAGGCGTAGTTAATCGTGGCGATTCACTAAAAAGTCGCCGTAGTCGTTCCAATAACAGTGTTGCCAGCTCAAATTCAAGGTAGGTTTTAAAATGAATTACATTTTTATTTATGAAAACAAAATATTCTTAAATTTAGCAGCACTGAATATCTCACTACCACGCAAATACCAGCACCAAATTCTGCGCGCACTTCTGCACCTTGTAGTTTGGCATCAAGCCGTGAGAGCAGCACATCCAACCCAGGTGGCGGTCCGTATAGGTAATTTGGCGATATATGTTTATCTTTTTCTTGTTATTAAATTAAAACTATTTTTGAAGAGTACTTATGTTGGGCGGACCTGCTGTGGGAAAGAGTTCTCTAGTTTCTCAATTTATGACTTCCGAGTATTTACATGCATATGATACCAGCATTGGTAAGTGGTAGAAACTGACCATATATGTATATTATTTTTGTATACGTTATGACTAATTATAAGTAAATCTACATGTGCGTGACTAATGTGTTTCGTTTTTATGTAGAAATTTTTATTTGTTTAAAAAACAATAAGCTTTGGACAATCTTTTAATGCAATTAAACACGATGTCCTAAGATGTATTCTGATGTACTAATATTAGTTTGAACATACCATAGCTTTAACATAGCTTTACATTGACAAACTTACTTACAGCTTAGTTTTGGGCAAAGGGCACGAAATACGATTTGCTGGGCATATTTTATGCTTAAATATTTTAAGCAAATTATCTCACTATGTTACAAGTTGATATAGCTTAGTTCTGTGGATATCGGGCTTCAAAATTGCAAATTTTTATATTGATAACTAGACAGTGGTGAAACGCACATCTAGCAGCTGTTAATCGTCGGTTTTGTAATGCAACAATTTGATAACCCAATACAATTTTAAGCCTTGAAGTTTTAATGACCAAGTTATATAGTAGAAATGGATTCTTAAGCCATTAATCGTGGCGCTTCGAAAATCTTAATTCAAATTTGTAAATTTTTATATTGATAACCCGGTGGTCAATGGCTTGTCTAGCTGCTCTTAATCGTCGGTGTTGCAATGTAAAAATTTGGTAACCTAATACAATTTTAAGCCCTGATATTTTAATGACCAAGTTATATTGACATTAAGTGTAGTGTAGAAAAGGCTGCCTGGTACCTTGTTAAGAAAAATAATTTTTTTGCATATTTCTTGGGCAATTCAATTTTTGTCTTTTGTTCGGAGATGGGATTAAATTATATTGCGCAGTTCAAAAGTTCTATTCCTGATTGTTCCACAATATGATTGTAAAGTTCTATTAAGGAGATGTCCATTGCATATTTGTATTTTTTATATTTAATTGAATTATTTTTCTAATTATTTTTGTTTTCACAACTCAAAGTATTGCTTCAAGGAACAAAGAGCACCAATTTATGTTTTTACTGTGAAAATATGTATAAAATTGTATATATATATACGTAAAGTGTGTTTGTAATATAACTAAGAATGGTATTTTCAGTAAATATTTAAAAATTTATTTATTTTTTCTTTATTGTCTACTTTGAAACGTCATATGAAAATCGTCATATCATTTCAATTTTAACAATGCGTTAATACTCGTATCTTCTGTGTTGATGTGTACACATTCAGGCTACTGCGACATTCGCATTCATATTGAAAAACCCACTGACGGTAAAATAATAATAAAAACTTAAACATAATAAAATAACTAGAAAAGATAATACAAATATGCATTTTATCTTTTTTGGCGAAATAACTTTAATATTTTTATTATTTTTAATTAGTTACAATTTGCTTAATACATTTTTGTAATTCTATTGAAATTTGTTAATACTTCTATATACGATTTTTAAAGAGCTATACCTTATATGCACTTCTATACACGCAAATATACTATGAATATGCACTGCAAATACATACCATAAACCCCCTTTGTTCTGAGTATGAAAATACATTTAATTACATTTGATTAAAAAAGATCAGACAAAACTTCAGATTCAAAAAGATTTAGAAACCCAAAATATAAAGTAGATGTTTTAGTTAAAATTATAATTACGATCAGATTTTCCGTGATTATCCTCGACAAGGAAATTAGCAAAGTCAAAGCTTCATATTTTCACTAAATGTCATGTATTTAACATTTGTATGGAAAAATAGTTGGCTTTGGCTTTACCGAACCTCTGATATGCTTAACACAAATACCTTTATTGCATATCATTTATTTACTATTTACTTGCTAAATTTATTTTAGCTACTGTTTGAAAATATTTTAAGTCCATTCATTATGCTGTACATAACTAAATATTTAACAACATATGCATATTTGTCATAGTTATATCGCTAGGGAGATATGTAAATACATTGTGACCGAAAAGTTTCCGGAAATTTTAAATAAAACGCAAAATTCTTAATCTTCATCAATATTTATTTTATCTCCTTCAAAATATGCTCCATTAGAAGCGATACACAAATGCCAACGTTTCTTCCAATCATCAAAACATTTTTTATAGGCGCTTTCCGGTATGGCTTTGAGTTCCCTCTGCGAATTCTGTTTTACGTCTTCTATGGATTCAAAACGCGTTCCTCTGAGTGGTAATTTGAGGTTGGGAAACAGGAAAAAGTCACACGGTGCAAGATCAGGTGAATACGGTGGCTGTTCGATGGTATTTATTGAATGTTTGGCCTTAAAATCGTTGATAATTTTGAACAAATTGAGGTGAATCGGAACAAGCCGAGCGTTGACACGTCGCATACACAAATTTTCCACCAAAATCAAACGAGCCATCTCACGACCGATGCCTAGCTCTCGTGCTATCTCTCTAACACTCACATGAGGATTTTGGAACACGATTTCCTTTGCCTTTTCAATGTTTTCGTCGGGGGTAGAGGTCGAAGGTCGTCCAGAACGCGGCATGTCTTCGACGGTCGTACGACCGTCCTGAAAGGCTTTGTACCACTCATAAACTTGAGTTTTCGATAAAACTGATTCCCCATAAGCCTTTTGTAGCATTCGCAACGATTCTGCACACGAAATTTCGTTCGAAAAACAAAATTTGATGCAAACTCTTTGTTCAATATTTTTTTCCATTGTTTTTTTCGCAACGCACTACTGAGGTGAACTGGTTTCAACAGCTGCCGTAAACGAACTGTCTGACAGATCGCGCTCATTTTTGGCATAGTAATTGTCCTTAATTGCTGCCAAACTACATAAACTTAAAATATCGAAAAATATACAGCGCGCGAATTTTAAATGAGAATTTCCGAAAACTTTTCGGACTTAATGTAATTAAACCCTACCTATAATTTGTCTATTTTCACTACATGTCATTGTAGAAAGCTTCATTCATTTATTGCTAGAACTATGAGACTAGTTTGCCAGATAGACAGAAAGACAGACAGATATAGTTAAATTGATTCATATTTTTCGCTGGTCAAGTATATGTATAATGTATATGATATAATAACTCCATAGGAAACGGATCGATCATCGAAGAGATCTCTGACGCATGTTCGCATAACTACAGACTAATCGATCCAAATATATGACGGTCTTCGAAGACCTCTTGCGTACATGTATAGAAGAATGGATGCGTCCATGTCTTGCATAGCGCACGTAACATATTCAGTTGAAAATAGTGTGCTCTTAGCGAAGACAAAGTCTTCAAAGACGAGTTTTGCAACTGGGAGTGGGAATGTGTAATATGTATATGTATACTATGTATATATACGAAGGCGGTTTGATAAGTCAGTGACTTTTTAAATAAAAAAAATTTTTTTCGGCAAATAAACATTTTATTTTTCTACATAATCACCTTTTAGCTCGATACATTTAGTCCAGCGTTTTCTAATTTTCTTATACCCTCCAAACAATAGGTTTAGTTTCGGTAATAACTTCTTCATTCGACTCAAATCTCTTACCGAAATAATAGTACAGAAAATAGTCGCAGGGGGCTAAATCTGGAAAATATGCTGGATGGGGTAGCAGTTCGTATCCCAATTCGTGGATGTGGGATCGTAATGCTTAATCAGCACACGAAATTCATTTTTTCTATTTTCGTAAAAATTCACGAGGTTGTCTGCTCTGAACGGCTATCAAACACCAACTGAACGACATAGCTTGCTCAAAATTAAAAAGTTGCCCATAGGTAGATTACAGCTGACGGTAGTAATCTTGCACTGTTGCATTTGGAGTAATGCGCGGGAAATTCAAAAAATCACTGACTTTTCAAACCGCCCTCGTAGTATGTGTAGTGCAGTTAGTTAATATTTTTTGATACTCACATATTTTACAAATGATGGATTATCTGATCAGAGTTTATGAAATAATTATGTTGATATAATATATTTGTATAAGAGATTGACTATTATATGTTGCATGTTAATATATAAGGGCACTATTATTCTTATATTTTCAAATATGGTATACCTATACGGTCTCCATCGTATTAAAATTTTATGTATATACTTAAAATATAAAATTTGAAATTTCTTGATTGAGTTAGGATCCTTAATACACAAAACGGAGTAAAAGTTTTACTGATAGCGATAAATAAACCAATAAGTCAACAACTCGGAGAAAAAAAATTTCAACTGAAATAGCATATGGGTTCGTTTACGTACATGATCCTTTAATTGTGCACCTTTTTTTATAAAGTGCTTAAAAATAGAAGTTTTTCTGATTGTATTTAAACAACTTGCATTTTGTGAATGCTTTTATATGTATTCCAATTTGATTAATTGTAGTTCTCTTCCTGTTGTTGAAGAGTGATATACTGAAGGAAGGAACTGAGAATAAAATGTTTGGAACGGATTAAAGTAAAATATTGGGGATTAGAGAACTCGGGTGATGAGAAGAATGAATATAAGCAATACCAACAGTAAAGAATCCAATAAGCTAGAAATGGAATGTGTTGCGAGACAGTTGAAGATATAGACAATAATATACAGAGAGGTTTTATATTTATACGAAACTATTGTGGTGTTCTTGTTGTATAAAATCAACTGATTTCTGATGTTGATACTTTGTCTTAAATTTCATTTAGTTACATTTATCAGGGATTACTGTAGATAGTACCTAGTTGATCACAAATAATGTCATAGGCTTTTATTTAATTATCAGCAGTTCAAAGAAAAATATCGCTACTCTTTCAATCGATTATTTTAAATTATCTACGAAATGAAATACTTGTATAATAGAATTTTATTTCATTTTAATATTTCTTTTTATTAATAGGAAAAAATATTATGCGAAAATTATTTTTAATATAAACTATATCAAAACTTCCTATATGTAAGAAAAGTACTTCTTCTCTGTTGGTATGCCACTGCGAAAGTTTTAAATTAATTTCTTGAATCAAATACACAAATATTCACTGTAAATAATATTTTATATAAATTGTTGTTTATTAAATGCTTGTTCTTTATAAAGTAAGTTTTTATTAGTTTGGCATGTAAATAAATATGTTTCAGTTCTTTATATTTATGTTAATTAATTAATTTAATAAATTACTTATAAAACTATTTCTTCAACTTAACTCTTAGACGATGAATCTGGGGAAAAATCCGTATCAGTATTACTAAGTGGCGAAGAGTCTGAATTGACATTTATCGACCATGCATACACAGAAATGGTGGTAAGTATAGAAAAAAAATGAAATTTATCATTTATCAATAAGCAAAACAATGAGAACATAAGATTCACTTATCAACTTTTCTATTCAGAGCTTTTACCTTTCACCTCTTAACTAAAATTAGATATTCCATCAGTCAAACAGTGATTTTGAAAATTTCGATACTTTGAATAGGTTTCTATTTTGCATTATCTATTATATTTAAATGAATTTTGTTAATATGTACAAAAAGTACTCCTAGAACTCTCCGAAGGCTCTTCAAAGTGTCATGGTACATCCGCACAAATGACATACTAAGAGACCTTAGAATAGATCCGGTCAAAAAATACATAAGGGACAGAGCTCTGAGGCTATATGCGAAAATCGACAGGATGCCCTACTTAGCACTATCTAATCTCAAAGTAATCACTAACCGCACTGGGCGGTACGCAGATCTTAAATCAATCATTGAATAATCACGAAGATTATGAGGAATACTCAAATTAGTCAGTGAGATGGGTGGGACTCTGAAGTAATCCCCCAGCCATCATAGAGGAAAATTTCATATCCAATAATGTGGTTGTGCTTCTATTGTATAGAACGAACGTCAAAAATAACATTAGTAGCGAATAAAATAATTGGTGAAAAAAAGACCTGTTATGCTTTAAAATTTCTGAAGAAAAACTTTATATGCGTATATCGTACAGCGTGTATAAGTATATCGAAAGTATCTAGGGAAAATTGGATTATAGGATGGCATGAAGCTAGGCTGGGTTGCTATATGGGAGATAGCGGAACAACTGCTGTGTCTATGTCCAGTTTTATTCTGAACCAGGTTTATGTTGTTGGGCGTCCTATTGACCATATATTTGCATTTATCAATACGTACAGCTGTTTCTAATATGCCCAACTTTCTATCCACACTTACATGGAATGCGGGATTAATATGTATGTGACCTTATTGAGAAGGATTTGATTCTACTTCACCTATATTTTCAATATATAATGTTATATAAATGGTGCCATTAATAAAAAAAACACATGATTATTTAAAACGTTACTATAGTACTCATATCAATTTGATAAAACTTTTAAAATCTTATTAAATATACTGTAATAAAGAATTTAATTTACGTCGCTTCTTAATTTATCTCACTGAAAAATTTTTTTACATACAATACTGGGTTGATAGAGCCATTGTTCAAAATATATTTATAGATACAAATTTAAATAGTACTGGTTTATATATTTTCTGGTTGATTAAGTTCTTAGTATTTTACATAGAGTTCAATAGGATACTTTTGTGTAGCGGTGGGCACAGAAATCTAGAAAAAGAGAAATTGGAATAAAAGTTATTTGAGAAATTTCTTGCTGCTTGACGATGAGTATGCTCTAGCGCTCTGCATAACAAAGTTCAGCTAACCTACCCATATTGGCAATGCATACACATATGAGTTTATAAGAACAGGTAAATCTGCGTAATCGAATAGAGATATATGTAATATATGTGTACGCAGATCTATGAGTTATGAGTTGTTGTTGTTTTAAATCGCTTTGTGCTAACACCAGTGATAACACCAGCGAAGGAATTAAGAAGTATTTTATCTTTGCTTCTTGAAGATAATAATTCTCGTACAACTCCACATTCTTGCTATTCTCTTTTAAGTGCTACGAAGTTTCATACTTAAATCACAAAAATTAGAATACTCATTGCTACGAATATTTTGTATTACTAAATTTGATTATTAAAATATGGATATTTACAGAATTATTTTTAATTTTTACTTTTATTTTTTAGCCCGATGATTGCCTGTCAAGTTATGATCCTCATGGCTACTGCGTCATATACTCAGCAGCAGACCGTTCCAGTTTCAGCATAGCTGAGCATGTTCTACAGGTGCTCTGGACAAATCAAAATATTGCTCAAAAAGCAGTTATTCTGGTAGCAAACAAAGCCGATTTAGCGAGAAGTCGACTAGTAACTTCAGACGGTTAGTAAAATATGTATAATGGAAATATGTAACATATAATGAATTTGAACTTAAATGAGAAGTATTTAAGTATAAATGTAAAGTGAAAATCCAGAACTCAATTTTAGTTTTGGTAGCTAAATCTGGAACCAAAAAATCGGTAACCTAATTTAGGGGTTACCTATCTATATCTCTAGTAAACGACATATGATTTATATTCTTTTTTATTAGTCATAAAATTTTGATTACAATTTGTACTATCAGTAGGTTTTTCGTTATTTAATTCAAACTTAATAAAGTAATAGTCAATAGTAATAGTTTTGTAGCTGCAAAATCAAAAACAATCTTAAAAATCCGTTTAAAAATATGGTGTATTGGTAACTTTTACTCACAATGATCTATGGAATTGTGGTTAACTAAACTGTTTTGTCGGAATTTTTTACTTGAACAAATATATGGAGTACATCTCCATATACTCAGAACAATAGTTACTAATTATAATATCAAACTCGCTACAATATTAAAGGGATAAAAAGAGTAGGTAACCGCTAGGTTAAGCTGACGACATTAGGTTATAGCTTTAAATAAATAATGTATAAAGTATGGATAATTATTATGTTTTTAAATTATTAATAAAGAATACAACTTTACTACTACTAATAGTCTATATCATCAGATTTAGAACTTAGAACTTTGTCATTTTCAATATAAGTTTTTTAAATCATGAATTTTATAATAAATAAAACTATATACTATACTATAAAAGAAATTTTATTTAGAGGATAATATGCTTAGCGATTATTCAGTAATTGGGTTAAGATTGTAAAATGAAATATTAAAAAATCAAGTAAAAATATACATTTAGCCCTAATACAAATCTAGTCAATGACGGACTTCAAAAAGCTAATAAACAGGCAAAATTCTAATATTGAAATTGAACTTGATACTAAAATACGACTGAAAAACTATTTTGAACTATATTAGCCTAAACATATTGATCGAAAACAGTTGATTGTGACTAGAATCACTCCCTCTTTATACTATAACACCTATATAATTTTATTTAAGTTTATCTAACCTTTCTTTTCGTCCCATCCTATTAATTATGTCGGTCTCTTATTTCATTTATATTCCGGCTCTCAGAATTTAGACGTCCTTTAGTCTTTCAGAATTTCAGAAGGACTAGCTCAACAATAAATATGACCATTTAATTAGCACTGCCGAAGCACATTTATTATAATAATATATAATATAATATATATTTAGTAGTAATATATATACATTTAGTAATAATATATAATATAAAACATTGCAATATTAATTTTTTGAAATACCAAATCCATTCTATAAAATTATATGGATGCGTAAGTTAGGACGGAGGTTATATTTCGCATAAAAAAGAATTAGCTGTAAATAAACATCTATCTATCTATTATCTATCTATTAGTTTATCTACTAAAGTATAATTTTGTATTCAAACATTTCTTTTTGTTATGTAGAGGGAAAAGCCATGGCTACTGCGTATGACTGCAAATTTATTGAAACTTCAGTCGGCATTAATCACAATGTAGATGAGTTACTTGTTGGGTTACTCTCGCAAATTCGTTTAAAATTGGAAAATCCAGAAAAGTCAAGGTAAATGAATACTTTTATTTTTAAATTAGTAAAAAAAGAAATGACAAACATTTATAAAAATCAAATTTAATATACGCCTAACTATTTATTAAAAGATAAGTTTTAGATATTTGTTAATTTTACTGAAGTTTACTTAAACTTTATATTTTAACAAATAACCATTAAAACACTACAGCAGAAATTTTTTTTTCATTTTGCTTAAAAAAATTTGTTTCGCCATAATTTTAGAGATTTGTTCAGAAAACGTTCTATACGCAAATCCAAAAAGCGGGCCTGTTCACCTTTAAGTGGCGCATGCTTAACTGGGGGCACAAATCCAAATACTCCATTGGGTCCTACAAACAATATTATGTCAGACTTAAATACTCCACCAGGAAGCGCCCAAAGCAGGTAAGTCAATTAAAGGGTAGTCCCATTTAAATATTACTCCATTAATGACATTTTTTTTCAGCCCACGCAAATATCGTGGTTCCCGCACTTCAACAAGTCTTAAAGTCAAAGGCTTACTAGGACGTGTCTGGGCACGAGATTCCAAATCAAAAAGTTGCGAGAACTTGCATGTCCTATAAACAGAATTTCTAAAAATTGTGTTATACTAGTGTGCGAAGTTGGTTTGAATGTGAATCAGGATGTGCATAAGAAAGTTTAGTTTATATCAGACGACATAATTTTAAAATATTATAATATCTATCTATTATTATATATATCTTAAATTTTCGGGTATAATTGCTAGTTACTTTTAACTAGCAACAATATTTAAAGATTTTTATTTTTATATTTTTACATAAGACCTTAGAAAATAAATGATGTTTTGACTTTTATTAATAAATTTTATGTTTAATGGAACTTATTATACTGTTTTTCTTTTTTTCTTTGATTAGTTTTTTATTTACACTTTAAAGAATATTAAATTTTTATTTCCTACCGCTCTTCACTAAACTTAACTAAACTATAATTCTAGAGAGTTCTAGAAAAACTCACGCTCCACGAAATAAAATTAATTTGAAATTGAGGTTTTAATCTAATTGTAGTTCGTTGGTGTTATTTATACATACATATTATTTACAAACATATGTGTTTAAAATATGTATTTTATACATATAGCATATTTTGTTAATGCTAAATATTGAAATTGGGTCCATTCATAGTAAATTAGATTTAATAACGAGTTTTATACAATTTATTAGGTGTTTTATATTAAATGTATTTACATTTTAAATAGATATTTGTTATATTGGTAATAGTTTTTATAAACAAAACAAAATAATTGTTAAAGCACAAATAAAAGCATTTTTAAAGCTAAGCATTTTAATATATTGAGATTTGACACTGAAATTAATATTAATTTATATGTGTATCTTTTAATAATTAAATTAAAAATAATTATATTGGAAAAATTGAAAAGGTGTTACCTAAATAATGTAATCGATTTTATTTATTATAAAAAGCAAAAGCAATAATATATTTTAGGTCTATAAAGAAAACCAGAAAAGTTAATCCGATCTGTTATTGATTAAATAAATTGTACTGATTTTACATATATTTGCTTTTTTGTAAATTGTTAAATTAAAATTAAAAATAATTGGTGTATGTATTTTTATTAATTGTTATTAAGTGTTTAATAAAAAATTGGTAATTGGCAAAAAATTTAAGAAAATTATAAATAGAAATTATAGAATAACAACAAAAGAACAAAGAACAAACATTTAAATTTAATATAACACCCTATTTGAAATCAAAAAATCGGTATTATTGAAAAAATTATTATATTCAAAATATGAGACTAATTAGTATTCCACACGTATTTATATGTTGAGTATATTTGAACCAGAAAAAATATGGTCACAAGAAAATAACTTAATTACTAATATTATTATTTTGCCATTAATTAAAAAAGTTTAAATAATTTTTATTACTCGTGAAAAAGTATTTATTCACTTAATCAGAGCATAGAGTATAGAGCGATTATAGACAAAAATAAGTGCATTTAAAAGAAATACCAAAAAATAAATATGACAACCAGGCCTTCCAAAAGATTTCGATATAAATTTCATATGAATTTTTGAAAGGTTCAGTTTTTATTTTAATATTTATAATTATTATTAATCACGTATTTACAATAAAAAGAAATTATATATATATAGTACATAGAATTAAAGTTTAACACTTGCAATACAAAAAATTATATGCAAAATATAACAACCAAAAAATATTTCCAAAGATCAGTAAAATAAAACATCTACTGCTGTATTTTCTTACTATATATCCCTTTTCACAGATGAATTTATTTACAAAATTGATTATTGAAGGATTTCCAGTTATCTGTCTTTGTTCCATGCTATTACTTATAATTCGCTAATCATTATTTCCGTTTCTTGGTAACTATTCTATGTCAGGTCGTTTCGTTCTACCTCTTGACCTTTCATGTTTAGAATGAATTCATAAAATATTTCATTCAAGTCTCTTTGTAATCTGTAGCCCTATCACACATGTGGAACACTACTTACTGTACTGTAGTGCTGTTTATTCTCTAGACAGCGGTTGGTTTTCGCCTAATCGTGATTGCGACATACCGTATTTAATATTAGGAATAGGAATAAACGGGGTATCAGCTCCCCACGAAGTGGAGCACTGCGACCATAGTTGATCTTTTGTGCTGCAACAGACCCTAACAGAACCGAAAGCATTCCGTGTTCCAAATGAAAGCCAGAATGTCGGCCGTTGAGGACATTCTGGACATTCTTGTTAATGTCAGAAGGGGAGAGTAGGTCACGACCCAGTGACCTCCTCTTGGCTCCGAACAAGGCTGAGCAGTCACAAAAAATTTAATTTAATATTAATTAATAATATTTTAATTTATAATATTATTAATAATATTTATAAATCGCTTATCTGTCAATAAGAATAAAGAATTCTTCTATTGATTGATTATGAAATTAATTTACGTTATGATTCAATTATCATTTATTTTTCAATGTAAGTTTAAAATTATATTATGAGATAAACTTTTTATTTGGCCTACAACCATAGTCGACACTTAATAAGTGGTTAAATGAATGTTGGAAACTTATATTCTTAACATTTGTTCTCAAAAGATAACAAGCGTCTTGTGTAAACAAAGACATCATTGTCAATATGTCACTGTAATCTTGACATTATATATATGTCAAAAATAAAACACGTCTTTTGATATATGTATGTATATTTTTTAAGTAAAAAATACACTGTATTAGTAATTGAATGAAATACACGTAATATCTATGTGCTGGGCTTGCACAACGTCACTTGCCGACGTTCGCCGGTAGACTGATCCCATTTATTTTTGACATATACTGTAAGCGTAAATAATTGGAAATAAGCGACATTAACTCCCTATATTTTATTAATTTTTACAGTTTCGAAAAGACATGAAATGTCTTAATATTTCTTCTATTAATTTATTACTAAATTTATATATATATATATATACATATGTATGTTTGTGGCCATGCATAGAAAAATAAACTTTATCTGTCACAGATCCTATATCAGTGCCTCCTCAAATTTCAACTCTGGGTAAACAAAAATTAATTAGGAAATTAATCAAATATTTTTTAACTGTGGTATTACTGAAAAAAATATAATTTGGTTAATTAACAGGAACAAAAACATATGGGGTACTTAATCCTTGATTTTGATTTTCCATTGCTTTTTTTCTGGAGATAAAATAGTCGTCGAATACTTACTTTTATAATTCGTTGATTTCTTCAACAAAATTACATATAATGCAGTTTCGTTGAAACCAGTTGCCGTCCAGGGCATGGAAAATATATCGTTGTTCATGGGTACTTGAGTAGTTTCGAAAATGATCAAATCATTAAACTATATTCCATTGCTTTCAAAGAAAAAACACAAAGTAAATCACATCAATTACTAGTAAAAAATTCAGTCAACCAGTTAGTTCAGTGTAAAGAAAAAAGAATATTTAAGTTACATATTTTAGCAAAAATTATATATGAAACGGTAATATTAACAGAGACTGTTTTATATGGGTCATTATCTGTACCTTATCGAATTAAAGGGTTTTAAATTTTGATTCCAACTTTTGTTTGAAAATATAATTAATTCTAATTTATATAATACAACAACTTACTATGTATAAAACCTATAACTATCGTATATTGAAGGACAGCAGTTAAATGATGCCAAAATTATTGAAAAAATAATTAAATTATTAATTATAAATTATGTTTTAAAAGGTAAGACAACAGAACATTGTTATATTCTCTCCACAGCAAAGCTGTAATTAAAAAAAAAATGTCTTTAAATTATTGAAGAATTGATTGAAATTGAAAATAAATAAAGGAGTTCCTAAAATTGACTCACATTTCTAGAGTTATTCCATAAGATCGCATTACTGCATAAAATCGATTATTTTCCATATTTTCTCTGAATAATGTGTATGTCAGTCGCATTTGATATTTCTTAATTGGTCGTTAGGACTTTCTTTTTTTACATATAAGACTTTGTATCAAGTATCTTTCTTTTGAATTTTCCACTTAGTTTTTATTCATTCTACCTTCTCAATTCTTTGCTCTTAACAGAGCGCGATAACGTATTAAAAATGTACATTTTTTGTTTCGTAGCTCCATGTATAGTTATTCTCATCGCGTTTCGTAGAAGAGGTTATAATTGTAATTGATCAATCCAACGTGAAAGCGACCGTTCTCGTCGTCTGCTTCCGTTACGTGATCCAAGTAGGTTAAATATGGGTTGAAAATCATTTTCATAAGATTAATCTTTATACGTTATTCTTTGAGTACAGAGACACTCTTCTACGGACCCATAGTTCAAAGGCCTCAATTTTCTGTCTTTCCAATTTTTTATGGATTTTTAATTTTTTTATAATATTAATATTTTGCCATTAATTAAAATAGTTTAAATAATTTTTATTACTCGTGAAAATGTTATTATTCTCTTTATCAGAGCATAATTTTATATTTTATTCTTCGAATACAGAGACACTCTTCTATAGACCCACAGAGACATTCTTCTATAAACCCACAGTTCGAAGGCCTCAAACTTCTGTCTGTCCAATTTTTTTTGATCACTGTTGCAGTTGCATACGTAGCTATAGGAAACACCAAGGCGTTTACAAGACGAAGCTTTGTAGATTTTGTTATAGTTCTATCTTGCCATATACTTTTAAGTTTTATTATTGCAGATCTTGCCATTGTTATACGACGTTTAATTTCTTCAGAGCACATATATATATACAGATAAACATATATACTATATATAAAAATTTGTTTCATATAACTGAATTTAGTTAATATGAATATACTATATAGTAAAATGGAATTAATTTTGAATGTATTAGAGGGGGGTTCAATTTCAACCTGTTTAAATACTTGTCAGACGATTTAATAAAACTTTCATGATATAAGTACTTTATCTTTGACACACTTTGCTCAAATTTGCTTGAAGCGATATTAAATGAAGTTCCTTAAATTTTGCGATTGAAATAGTCCTGTCCGATTGATTTTAATGGAGACTAAAGAGTTAAACGTAATAGAATTTGTTTTTAAAAATCAGTTATATTTGTAACTAAAATCGTATTTACCCAAGACGAAAGCGCGGATTTGTTTTAAAGTGTAGCATGCGAACAATATGAACCATATAAGGAATTAGTATGAATATGAATTTAAAATAACAGTGTGGTCAGGTATATATTTTATATCTACTACTTCCACAATATAACTCTTTCCCGGTCCAATAAAATCACCTGAAACGAATTC